CCTGACTGAATGAACAGACCCTTGCCATGTCAGAAATGTCACAAGGAGCAAAGCCTGCTGGGTCTGCACATTGTGTGACAGCAATGAACCCACTGAAAAGTTTCCTGTAATGTTGGACAAATTCCTATTAGCATGCCTCTTAGGTCTGTACTGGTTGTTTGTGATAAGATACACGTCACACGGTTTGTCATTTTTGCATGAAAAATATCCTGATTGCTATGATTAAGCAATAATCACAGTAGTTGCAAATAAATTTTCTGAAGATCGACTAATCAACTAATGATTTCAGCTTTAGCATGACTTATTTGCAAGCAACACCTTTTATGAAGATATTTTTGTGTCTTTTTAATGCAAGCAAAAAAAAAAAATGTTTTGAGAGCATATTTATCGCACTGCAATCAAAAATCAAGTTTGTAATTAAAAACAAACACGCCTTTTTTGTGTTACAAAAAGGTTTAATTGCTAATTTTCCCTCTTTGATTGCAAGTCAAAGTTTTGTCAGAAAGTTTTGCAGGTTAAACAGTTTTGCAAGTGAGAGAGTTTTGCAAGTCAAAGTCAAAAATGGTTGAAATAAGAGATTCTATTGGTGGGTCTGACTGACCAGTATGGGTCTGCATCGACAGCTTGGCCACTCCCATAATTCCCTCGCTCCAATGGCTCCGACCAGCTTTTAGATCTACTGGAGACAGAGTTGTTATGTGTACAGGCTAGATGGAGGTAAGTTGACATTATGTCGCTCATTTCCATGTAAATGCTTTTAAATGTAGTATGGCATGATTAAATTATTATTTATATTTACTGTTGGCAAGGTCACGTAGTCTATTGCTGTCTCTTTTTTAGAATGACATGTATAACAATTAGCTAACATTAGCCGTCTTGGTGTGAAGCTTGACTGGCAGTGCATTTGTGTACTTAGACATGACTAGCTAGGCTAAGGTTAGCTACTCATGGTTAAACACATTGTACACTATATCCAGCAAAACTCGTTGTCTGTGATGGTGGTAATTGAAGATTATGGTCACACAGCATAAACTAGACTTTAGGCTGCTAATATTACATTGAAAGTATAGACTGTTATCTAGATATTTTGAGGTGTTGCTGCCTGTAAAAAGACAAAGGCCGTTAAAACTGAGCTTTGATGGTGTGAGAAGCAGCAAAAACCAAAAGCGGGACCAGTCCATAGTCAAACTGGAACTATGGTCATGGTCACGGGTTACCCGGTAATGGCACTACTTAGTTGTCCTCCTCTCACTGATGTAAGGTTCTGAAGTCAATAGTCAGATTTTAGACACACTCATGTTTTGGTAAGGCTACAGAGAAATATTGTATGTTCACATCTAGCTATAGTCACCTCTTCTCCTCCTTTGCTCTTCTAAACACACAGTGGACCTCTTTCTGTCATTATTGAGATCAGAGGTTCTTTCTATGCCACACATCGTTATTTGCTGCCTTTCAGTCCTGACTAGGCTTGACTCTTCGTCTGGGTCATAGAGTGACGTCACCCTTAGGTTTCTGAAAAACTATTTCAATCCCGGATAACCAAAAATGAGCAAAGAGGCCGGTCGTGGCTGGAGCTGAGGTGCCCGGTTGCTGAAACTACACCGCCTAGCTTGACACTGCCAAGTTTAGCTGATGCTAAGTAGCTCAAGATCCTAAGAAGGATATATGCTACTCTGAGTTGCTTGCCGGTGTCTTGCCAAAAAGTGATCGTCTGCCATAAAATGATTGTATCACCCAATATAAGTATACAGATGTTTATATCTGGATCAAACAGTCATAAGATGCAGAACTTTATGTTGGTGGTTATAGCAAAGGTACGTCTTTGTGAAACTTTGTTTCTTGTAACCAAATAATCACAATAATGGCCAAAGAAGTGTTTTTATAGCATAATCAGGCATGATATTTATATGATTATAAGCAATACTGTGGTATTGTTCTGTGTCATACAACTAATCCAGCCCCTTTTACCAGTTAAAATATCAGTTTTTAGCAGACAATCACTTTTTGGTATCAGACTTGTCGACACTAATGTTATACTGGCAGTCGCATAGCAGGACCCGGCACCTCACATGTCCGAAAGCGTCTGAGCAAATTTTTTACTGAGCTTTATCTTGATAAATAAACCAATAATTTAACCTATATTCCTGCCTAAAAAAACTCTTTAATCTGCTTTCAGTGACACAAGAAAAGAAGTATTATAACTTAAAGTTGTGAATCTTGTCTTCCGCCACTGACTTTTGTTGGTACGAAAATGTCTTCTGGGATACAACAGAGAGACGGGTAGTAGCATAAAGACTAGCAGTGACAGCGCCAGCATCCCACGTGTCATTTAAAGCGTCCGTGCCCCAATAATACAAACCTTAAACATAAATTAACCAGGTGAAAAAAATAATAATTCACCCCCCTTATAATTGTCATAAGGGCTGAAATTTGCTTTTTACACTAAACCCATTTTTTAACCAGGCTGTAAACAGGTTTTTTCTGCTAACATGGTGATCTATGGAAATTGACTCCCTTTTGGAGCCAGCCTCAAGTGGTCATTTAATGAATTGCAGCTTTTGACACTTCATATGGCTTCATTTTAGAGCCCCAGAGTTTGCCGCTTGGTCTGGGTGCTGCTTGAAGGATGCCCACTGTGGCAGTGGCGCACTGCCAGGCTTAATCCTTTTGGACTGATGAGAGGTTTCGCTCATACCAAATTTTCTTTTTATCCTTGACATGACTGAACTCATGGTCTGGGTAGTAGTGCAGAGATGAGGGTTGATGCAGTGGGGCTTGCTCAGGCCGTCCCTCTCAGGAGGAGGCAATGGAAGGTTCTGCTGGATGGGCTGGGTGGTCCTGGAGGAGGGCTGCTGCTGCTGCTTTGACCCACACACAGCTTTGCAATTGTCAGAAGTCAGGGTCTGGCTCTGACAGATGTCCATTATCTCAAAGTAGGACCTAACACTACAGGACAATGAATCATTCCATCAACCTGCCAACTTCATCACCCATGTGATTACAAAATATATATTCAGATAAAGTAAGAGATAATATACATCTATAATCTCCTCTATGTAACCTTCAGCACCCAGCTACAAAAGTGCAAATGGGACATTAATGGATACACATAATACCTCAAAAAAATGAAATAATAGTATTGACTTACTGGGAGTTGATGGCATGCATGCTGACCATGTGGCACAGGCTGGTGAACCACTGGGAGAACAATTCAGCCCTGGCACTGTAGCCACACCAGCCCACATTACCACGCATCCCCACTAACAAACACACGTTCACTACTTAGGCTACATTTGTGTACAGATGGTGAAATAATAATCAGTAGTCCTACCGTATGTAACAGATTTGTAACGTTTAATGTCTGTGACTACCACACAATGCTAAATAGTTTAAGAGCACACGTTTATGACAAATTTACACATACAGTTAAAACAATGGCTGTCCATCTGACTATGCTGTAGAGTCCGTGTGCTCTCTGTTGAGAATATTTCTTAAGGGCAAAGTAAGACAGGTCTAGCTTAGAGTAATTTAGCTGTGTTTTCTGAGATTCTAACTGTAGGTATTTCTCACATGTAACTGTCCTTGCCAGGGAGACAACAATAGACTGATTAGTTAGAGACAGTAGCTCAGGCGTCAGGCTAGCAAATATCAGTGTTCTCTGGGAATCTCACAAGGTTGAGTCTTACAAGAATGTTTACAAGAACTCACTGGCTCCACAGACTAGAGTACAACTCATGGATAGTGATAGATTCCAATATGATGAAGCATTGGAGTCTAAACATCAGATAGATTACTTGTTCTAGGTGAAAGATGACCTAATAGAGAAACCTACAGGCACTAGGGGGAAGAGAGAAACATGAAAGGGACCAAAAGATGTTATCCTTCAGATTTGGTGTTGGCATTTGACTTGTTCACATGTTGTATGCTGGCACTGTATCTCCTCGGCCGGGCTCAATAAACCGTGCTATGTTAAGTATGTTTCAGTCTCCGAAACTTCTTCACACCTGAACCAGGCTCACAATATTTCTTCAACACTCTCTGTCTGTTTGTCTGCTGTTGCTGTCTTTCTGTACTGCAGAGTTAATTACAAACCGAACATTTTTGTGTGTCACTGTTTTCTTCCTACCTCCACCACACTCCTCACTGTCTCTGCTAGGCCTACAGTAGCATCCTTCCTCACAGCACTGGTACTAGAAGACCAGGGGTCTCTGGCTGTACTGATTCCAGCAACATCCTAGTTCATGAACACAGCATAAAAATGATTGCAGAAAAATGTTTCCTCACACACTGATCTCAACATTGGAATACAAATGAATAAAAACAAGTAAGTCTCGTAAATGGCAGAAGTAGAAAGGATTACGGTTTTCTGTTCTGACAAAGTAACTTTACTGACATAACCTAGATAGTTTCTCTCTATGTGTTTCTCTGCAAAATGCTTAAATTGGTCGCTACTTTGGCGGCCATTAACTACCTGAGTGGCCCGCCCAAGTAAAGCCTATGTGTGGGAAATACTGACATTATTATCAATCTCACTGGCCCACCCCAAAGCAAATGGTCTGGCCCCATTGGCATTTGCAAGAATTTCCAGATAGCCAATGTGGTGAACTGATGCTTTAGCACCTGACTGGGTATAATCTGGTGGCACCGAGCTGAAGCATTCCCCTTAGCATGTCCACAAACATTGGCAGATAAATCAATTCTCCAATTTTATCTGCAGGATTCTCAGGATTACTGACCCGGGCCTGGAACATGAATTAACTGCAACAATAAAAGGTGAGATGTGTCTTTTCACCTCCAGCAAGGAATCAAAACGCCCTCTGGAGATTTGAGTGCATAAGATCATGTTCAAAGTTTCAGCAAACGATGGGTATCAGGTGTTTGTGGGAGTAAATCATTTCAATTAAAAAATAAAATGAAGGACAGACAGAGCAGTGGTGAAGTGGTACCTTGAGTTTCCAGTGACTTGTGTTGGAGTTGTTGTCTCTCTGTGTCCTAAGCCGAGCAGGTTGGTGGTTCTCCCCGAGACTTCACTGTGTACCTGAAGATACAACCAAGTTGTCAGTCCTTGTCAAAGACTGTCAGTGAGTTTCAACTGTTTTTATTTGAATTTTCACAAACTTTAATAATATTTTCCATGAGAACGTCAAAAAGAACATGTGGAAAATGAAGAACTGTGTGACAAAAATTGAAAAAACGGGTGCACAACTGAATACAGAAGAATAGATAAAATATAAACAGATAATTTAAGTAAATCAGATGATGCTGGTTATTTCAATAAAACATGAAACCTAACAGAGTAAACTTCTAGTAGTACTTACTATATCATATTCACTCATGCTGGCATGGAGTTGAGTGCTCTACAATATACTCTGAAGACCTGAGAAAGGACAAACAACCACGATCTCACTATCCATTAAGACAATTTCCATCATATTGACAGGCACTTGGAGTATTACGACTTCTACTACTACTCACAGTGTGGATGTACAAAGAGGGGATGCCTATATTAGTATACCCAATTTTTCAGCCATTTTACCCACTAAGAGATCAAATATGGTTTCCAGTTACTCACCAGTATGGACAGGTCTGAATGTACGAGCCCATCCTGGCACCTGACCGGCCAGGCTGAAGTCAATCACTTTGACTACTAAGTACATGGTCCACCACCATCATATTTTCCAGCTTGAGGACTGCATGTATTATGCCAACACCCTTCAAGTGATCAAGTGCGGTGGTGAGCTGAAAAGATATTAAAGCCATTCATCTGAATTAATAATGAATTTAATTCATTCATATTAATGCAGAAAAGCAGTGGAACATACCTGCTGGACAATAGGTCTGATCTCCTTCAGAAGGAGAGGTTTAAAATACATTTCCTTCATGAAGTAAAAAAGACTTCTGCCTAGTGCTCAAACTCTAGGCAAATGTGTCTTTTGTCAGTGAAAGGGTGCAGCAATTTCAGTTTCAACAGGTTGGCCACTTTGGGACACATGACAAGTCACACACAGATTTGATATCAACATGACCCATGTAAACAAGCCATTATATAATTGTAGGTATTTCTTCAAATACAGTCAATGCAATTAGTGTACAAAGCACTGTCACATAAATAAGTACATTTTTGAAAAGCCCTCATTCTTTATAATTTTGATTGCTACTGTCTTCATGTCGTCAATCCTTATGCATTTTGCAGCTTTGCCAAAGTGCCCTGCCCTGAGAAAGAATACACCAGGTAACTGGAGGATCTGGAGGAGAGCCATTCCCGCTGACTAACTGGTCATTCTGGGCAGGTAGAGTGGAGGACATCTTTGAAGCAATCAGAAGATGTGACAACTGCTGCTGGGAGCTCATAGCTGAGAGGAAAGCAGGAGAGGATGGATGTGGACACAACATATAGCCACAATACGACCATATCACAACATAACCTTTCTGCCACAGGATAACTGGCTTCAAGATGTGGTATAAACATTGTGGAACTCATTTTATGAGACTCAGTGACAATACATGTAGGGTAAATTAAATTTCAGCAATGCACCAGTGGATGGTGGTCTCTACTCATACAGAACAGAAAGACTATGTGCCCCAGGATAATCGCCTTTTTCTCCCTGCTGTGCTCGGAAGGAAGGTCTCGGAGATACCAGACAAGCACTGAGAGGCTCAGCAAGAGCGACTACCCTCAGGCCACTAGGATCCTGAAAGAGGTCACTGCCACATGTTCAGTGTGAAATAATCAAAATAAAAACATCTCACTCAACTGCCTCATCAATATCTTATCCCACTGATTCAACATTAATTACCCTAGAATTACACAAATGTGCTAATGAATCAATTCGACAGTCACACATGGTTAATTCTGCTTGTCTGAAAGGAAGGAGACAAAGGGTGGGAGAGGCAGAGGATGAGTAAAAAAAATAGAGGACAAGTTGATTCCTAGTCTGCTTCCACATTTGTGCATCTCCTCCTGATGAGCCTCGGTTATTATTATCCCATCATGCCACAGAGCCCTGACAGTTCTGTATTAGTTATTGTCCTATTGTTATGAGCTAAGGATGGTGGTAATTGGAGATTCACTCTTGATTGTTATCAAGGAGCTAGGATTTTCTTTTTACTCATTCATTATTCAAGATAATGAGAAGATTTCTCTCATTCTAAGCTTCACAAGCACATTATAAGTCTGTTTTCTTTTCCTCTGCTTTGTTTATTTATTAAAACACTGCATTATTCTGAATAAAAAAGGGCTCAAAGATTACGGTTATTGCCATTTTTACCAGCAAAGCGTTGCAGGATACTGACTGAAAACACAGATGTATGGAATACATTTAGATCAGAATGAAAAGGTTGACTAAACTAATTAAATATTATAAAAGGATTCTTCAAATTTAATTTGATTTCAATGTCCCTTAATATTCTTATAGGCTCTCAACATCTACATGAATACCAGATTAGAGAGCTAGACATGAAGAAATTCCAGCGAGGGCAGAGCTCTCTGATATTTACATGTAATTACAGTGAGTTAGGCTTTTATGGCATTTAATTAGCCTCAAAACATACGTACATATAAAAACCAGGTGCGTGCACGTGATACAAGAGCACAGTACAGTATATGCGAGTGGCAGAATCATCAAGAAGACGACAGAAAAACAAGACAAAAGCGTGGAACAGCCACTTCTACACTTCACATAACATAAGTAATTTGTAATAACCAAAATGTAACATGGGCTATTTGTGGCATGGTCAGTATTCGAACAGACGATTCAAACGCGCAGAGAAATCAGCCACCTATCACCCATCTATCTCATCCCCGTCTCCAAAGTCTCAAAAGTCAACATGACGAGCAAACGTTGAGCAGCTGCAAGCTTGTAGGGAGGGGGCAGTTGAGCACTTGTCTGCCCCACATTTGTGCACATGGAGCAGAAATGCTCCCTCATGAGGATGGTTTTCCACTCCCGGATACTGTTCTGTGCGCTTGGTATGACTTGCATGTGCCTCTGTTTTTATGTGCATGGGTTTTGAGACTAATTAAACGCCATTGCCTTTACATGGTGCTCTGACTGCAGTAAGTAAGCCAGCCCCCTGCTGACAAATTCAACTGACAGAGCAAATATATACTTCCTCTAATCAGTCAATCCCTTCATCCTTGGTCCAATGTCTTCTGGGACAGCAGAGGGTGGATTTTGTCTGATATTAGCCAAAGTCCAGGCCAGCACGCTGGGGGGATTTGGGAGGTTAAACCTCCTGCTTTGATGTCTCCTCGAATATCCCGGCTTGACACAGTAAAACAAGGGATAGCACGAAATTGAGTGGACAGATCCAAAAGAGATTCCCCTTCTGACCTTCCTATCAACAAACACAGGGAAAGTAATTAAACAAGGGTAAAAATAGGAAAACAGATTGTAGTCATGTTATATTTTTTCCCCAATTCAGTGTTGTTATGCTCATTCCAAAAAAAGGAATGTGTTTATAGTGCAGGAAATTATCCATATACATAACATATGTACAGGATTATCAGTGCAAAAGCAGTTGTACCAAGAACAAGACACTGACATTTGTCTGTTTAAACACCGTATCAACCTGCTAAAAGGCGTAATGACTCAATCTATAATTTCTCAAAAACTGCATGCAACCTCTCCAGTAAATAGTTCACATATAAAGTAAATTGAGATGGGGACTTGCTTAGTCCCAAAATGATATTTGCAATAAATTGTACGGTCTTGTTTTTCAGTGCGGTGTAATAAGCTCCTCTTATTGAAAAAGCAACAAAGGGAACATGGCTGCCGGACACCTGGGTAATTGGAGGCAGCTGTCATCTCAGGCAAGACAGCGGAGTATATGGCTGTCAGTGTGATGTGTCAGACTCATAAAAGTGACAAAGCTAATTGTCGTCTCGCATCTCCACGCTCAAAGAAACTCTTGAGACCTCTGAAAAGCTTTTCTTTTCCATTCTTTTCCCTTAGAACTTCTCTCTTGATATTAAAAGGCCTGAGGGAGACATTTGGGTGGCACAGTAAGCGAAAACCTGTAAAACTGATGTTGACGTTATACTGCCTTCTGAGTACAGGCTGGTATTGTATGAGTGACTTCGAATTTAGTTAGGCAGAATTAGCATGCTATCACATATACTCCTGGGAGCAATGATACTGTAACTGCAAACTGATTGGAGAACTTGCAGGAATTCACAGAAGCAACGGTGCACGTAAAGAGAATTCAGTGAGCCAGAGCAACAAGCAGCTTATCCTTCCCAATCCAGAACCCCAAGAGTGGATCCTCACTACAGCACTTGATCTTACAAATGACCTCAGATGAGACTGAACCATTATACAGTGCATATGAGCAGAATCAGATTTTAATCTGATGAGGAGGCAATCATTGAGAGCGCCTCGAGTTCATAAGATGGCAGCATGTATGATTTATCCGCCTGGAAATGAAATCAATAGCATCTTCTTGATCTGCATCGTCAGTCGGTGATAAAGTAAAGCAGCCACTCCGCATTGACCTGGGACACAAACACTGAGGCCAGGAACATTCAGTCCAGTCTTGAGGACAGAGGGCTAACTGGCTGATGTGAAGGAGCACTCTCGCAGGTCAGGGCAACTTGACAAGGTTTGATTAATCACTATGGGAAACCTGGTCGAGAACAGGAGTGACTAATGACCCGTGTATGGCTGTTGATTTAATCAATCAAGAAAAGGCTCTAACCTTGCCAATACTTGGGTGAAACACAGCCACATACTGAAGCACACACACACACTCACTTATTTGGACCAGCAGGAGAAGTCCTAGTAGTAAATGCCCCAGGGCATTTTCTGCTACCATTATCAACTTTGCTGCAGTAAAAACTGAGAACTATATGCAGTTCTGGACGCATGCTTCTATGTCTATACCATCACAATATACAATACATTAAACTATGAACTGCAGAAGCTAAAACTTTATGACTATAATGCTGAGATCCACAGTGCATTATTTAGTAAGTTAGCTGCTGAGATTTAGGACTTAGATGTCTCCTGCTGTGTTTCTAAAACATTTTCAGTAGCTCAATCATTACCATTTAAAAACTGGCCTTCTTGCATGTCCAAAAGATAAACTAAAATTGATAAGCTAATATATTACAATTTTACTAAGGTTTCTGCACCTTACGCATTGGTTTAATTTCAGTCACTATGTTAACATGCACATTAATAATCTGACTATACCAAGACCAAGGTAATATCAGCTTACTGCACCTGCTAACCACATTAACTTTAAACTGCATGCCAGTTATTGAGGCATTTATCGTATCTGATTTGTCTTCCTGTTGATTATGTGCATGCAATTTCATTGACTCTGAAAACACCAACAAAGTCTCACTTAGTTTTATAACATTAATTGGGAAAGTGTTAAATTACATTTCGCAAAAACTACAAATTTTGTTTAACATATCACTTGGCCTGTTAAAAAGTTATGCTATTGCTTGAGATGCTACAGTGACTACTGGTTTACAAAGTTAATTGCTTTTCATTGGATAACGGATGTTTCCTAGCAACACATTTCTGGGAGAAATTGTGTCACTGTAAACCATTAAACCTTTAAAATATTGATTCGTGTCAACATAATGAATGTGACCTTAATCTCTTAATCTTCCTGTCTTACTTGTGCCAGAAACCTGTCAACGGGCAAGTATTAAATATGAGAGTGCTGGTAGGACGTCACTATCAGTGTGCGGACCTCAAACACATGCAAACATATATTTACAGAAAGACTACAATGTTTGTATATTGTACAGAGAAATATGAAACTCCAACATGACAAGTGGAAGCAGATATCTTTGCCTAGATATGAGAAGCTGCACCAGAAAAACTGGTTATATACAATGGCATTACTTATTACCCCCAGAGGCTAATTGTGCATGACTAATGGATGGCGGACTTGAGACAATAAAAGTATTCATTCAATAAAAACCCAGATGGAAAGTAGGTTTTATATTTTATTCCAAAACCTTCAAAATAAGTTTCAAGTTCAAGAAAGTAGAATAAGCTTAGACACAATGCAAAGCATCATATACAGACGGATAAAATACATTTTATATATTGCAGACAAGCCATGGTGGGTCTTACATATGTACAGTATGTATGTAAATTTTTTATGTACAATCTTTTTTACATATACAAAAAGCCTTGTTTCTATTTTTCTTTGTATATATTTATATATATATATATATATATATATATTTTTATTTATTTATTTATATATAGAGATTTTTCATATACTCCCCACTAGCATTTGTACTACAATAATGAAAAAGAAAAACATTTACATATGTCAATCCATTTTTTTCTTTTATATTACAAATGTATTTTCATAAAAATATATCTCTGTACAAAAAAAGTTTTTTTTTATTCGTTAACATCTCTTTTCTTAGAGACACTTTCCCTCTATAGTTGCTCTCTGTAGTTACACACAGTCTGCTCAAGTCCATGTTTGTCCATTCCTTTACAGGTTACCCTTTTGGTGCACAGCAAGACACTGACACTGTCTTTTACTGTTGTTTTGTTGAGGCGTTCAAGGGCCGTGTTGATCTCGCTTAAGCGCTATGGGTTGTCATGAGTTTTAGTCTCATTTAGAGGCTAGTTGAGAGATCAAATAATGTTGTGGAGGGAAAAAAGAAATCATGGGACCTTGTAATAACTTTGTTGCCATGACAAACATACAGGAATAAAACGTCTGTGGTGATAAAAAGCAGCTCTCTATATATTTTTGCTATATTATACTCTAGATAAATTGGACATTCTGTTTTTATTCCAGGGATCACACACTGTGACAGCATATTTTCTTTTCCCATTACCGCACACAAAAAGAGGAGACGTTGTGGGATAACATATTGAACACAGTATAGACAGATAAATTCTGATGCACTCAGTGAAATGAAATACATTCAGTAGTTTTCAGTAATAACTGATCTGATTTTAAATCATGGAACTAGCCATCCAATCTTATCTCTGTTTACAGAATAAAATTCATCTAAGCTTTTCAAAATACATCTCCCTTCCCTCTCCCTCATGCTTGAATCCACTAGACACACCGGAATGGGCTGAATAGTGAAATCAAATTGCATGGAATGGACCTGAAAAACACAGCAGTAAGTGCAGCTTTGTCGTATCCATCATTATGTGGTGACAATGAAAGATGGGAGATTATAAATGATAGTTGATGCAGAATATGTCACAGCACAACCAATGGATTGCTTGGTTTTTCAATGTATGTGCGTTGTGGCCGGTGCAGAAAAGTCTGAGCTCTAGCTGCAGAAAGAAATGGGAAGCTTTTGGTGTAGTCCCTGACTGTCAGAAAATTCAGTGAGCTCGATGGGAACTCAAAGAACATACTGTAGCTGTGGTGTGTTTCATTATAGAAGAGATGGTGAGCAGGAGAGAACTCAGAGCTGTGTCTGGCTGATAACGAAAATGAACCCAGGGATGAACAGAGTTTCTGTCTTAAAATATGCAAAGAGAACTAGGAAGTAGTCAGCTGCTATTAAGAAAGACTCTCTTCAAATCATTTCCATCCAGAACTCACTGATCTTCATTTTCATGTTACTGTACTGCACTTTCTTTGAGCACTTTCTGGACTAACCCAGATGGATTAAAAATGAAAATATTTCCATAGATGTAGCGCACATTAAGTGAAAACTACCATTTGTGCAAAATTACCAGCATGAATTTTTTCTGAATGAATTTCATGTTCGCCATTAGAAAACCTTTCTAACTAGTGGAACTAAATGAAGCAACATTGAGAACTGACTGAAAGTGTTTATCTAAATTTTTGCCCGATTCTAATTTGTTCGAATTTGAATAACTTTCTTTGGCTGAACAGGTAACTTTTTAATACAAACTCAAAAATACAAACTCAGCCAATCATGTACGCAAGCACATAAAATCCAAGACATTATTCTTTGCATACATAAAAACAGTACTAATGAGCTTATTGCTCATTTAGGAAAAGCAAATTGTGTTACTTCAGTAGGTTTGTGTCTGTGTGGGTGCCTGGGTTATACTATACAGGCAGAAATGATAACAAGAACCCTGACCGAAAGCCAGAGAAAAGACCTCTAATTTCATAACATACATAAAAACATTATAATCTTACTAAAGAGATAATGATGTTTGGAATTCCTGAACACAAAACAGAGACACTCAAGCTGGTTCATCATATCATGGGGTTGTACCAAGGCACTATAATGAACGTAAAGTGCTTATTGGAGACTGGAGGAGGTACAAAAACGTATGAAAAGGTATGCGTCTGGCCCTTTAAAACCATTTCTGAATTTCTGAATTGAGCCCTTGTTCGTAAAAACAATCATAGTTGTATGAGCTTATGCTTCTGTATAATGTTTGTCCAAATAACTCTAATCTAGTCAAATAGAATCAGCTCCATCTGGAGAGAATGGGGCATCATCTCTTATCGCATCAGCTAATCACATTTGTTTGTTTAATACTCAGTGCCTCTTAATAAAGTGTGTTAAATGTTGCCATGGGATGAATGAATGGAGGCGAAAGACCACTTCTAAATGGCCTTAACAGAAACTAACTGGAATGTAATGCAAGCTATAGACTCTACTGAAATATCTGGAGCAATTTCGGAATAAAAATAACTGAAATGCACAATGCAACAGCTGCAAAAAAAACCTGAGAACTGAGTACGAATGCCTTCAAGATAATGCAAGTGCAACTGCTCCTCTCCCCGTGAAATCTCCAGGGTAATTCAATCGTTTCCTTTTCCATCAATTCACAACCAGAGCAGGCAAGGGGCAATATTCTATCTGTAATGTCGAGATAAGCAAGAGCTTTAAAAGTAATAAAACTGTAAAAGCAATTACCGACTCACTGCGAAACTGATTGAAGGAACAATACAGTGATTGGTTTCAGAGGCCTGATTTTAAAGACTTCATTAAAAAACCTGTTGGTATGGAGGCTAACTGTGATTGTGAAAGCCACTTTGTGGCATATATATATATATATATATATATATATATATATATATATATATATATATACACACACACATACATACACACACACACACACACACATTATATATATACATATACACATACATACATACATACATATATATATATATATACGTGAATGTAATGCAAGTCAAATATTCCTCCTATTGTCTAACACTAAAAGGAAGGATGCCAAAGGGTACATGGTAAATTTAAGAGTGTGGATGTTTTAGACTACTTCTTTTGGAGTCAAACATTACATAATTGAGGGTCTGTCCTGTGAGTGAAAATGGTAAGATGAATTCAGGATTCGATATGGGTTTGACAATGAAGCAAGCTAAATTAAAGCAAATTGCATGTAATGACTCAATTTGCTGCAGTGAAATTCAAGCACTATTCACCCCACTCAGCATCCGCAGGATACACAGGTAAGAGGAAAACAGCTGGGAGCAGGGTGTTTGAAATCTGGTAGCGTTCTTTCCTTTCGACGCCAACGCTCATAAGCGATTTACACAAACACACACACACACACACACACACACACACACACACACACACATTATCAAGGGTCACAAAAGCAATAATGTTCTGAATTCTCTCTTCTCATAAGACGTCATTCACCAGACGCGGTAGACTCCTGCTGTTATATCTGATGACAGGTTCCTCCTGTGTTAATCTTTCAAAACAATATTTTGTGTATATTGCTCCCCAGTTGCCACAGATTTGAGGAGTGTTAGCATTAGAGGCATAAACATTTTTCCATATGATATTTATCACTTTCAATTGAATGCATGGGTGTAATCAGTATGCCAGCAAACTCCCTTGCTGTCACGGCTCCGAGAAAGCCTTCTGCCACATTTCATGATTGGTGAAGACAAAACAAAGCAACACAACTCTTTTTTTTCAAAAGGATGGAGCTGTCAGAAGTTAACTTGGAGGAAAAGACCTGAATGTAATCCAGGGGGAACAAATCACTGACTCATCCATTCTTCAGACTCAAGTGCCTTTAGTTGAACATTTCGAGGGAGTTCAAACATGACCACACTTTGATCTTTGTTTTCCTCGGGCCAAGTTTAGGAAGCTCATACTGAATTCTTGATTTCAGAGAAAAATAACGGTACGTACTACCTTCAAGCTGCAGAAGCATGTGATGGTGGATCCCAGGATTAAAAAGAAAGTCAGAAGCGGGCAGTTTGACATCAGACTAGCAGTCTCTCCGAGGAGAATGTGCCACCTGTTGCTCTGTGACTTGGTCCTACAGCTTTATTCTGAATTTTGGAAATGAAGAGGAAAATAAAAAACAGGTGTGGTCCCAATGCATTCACATATCCATGGAAAAATACTGCATCACAATTGTCATCGCTACTTAGACCCAATCAATGTCTTTTTCGCCTCAAGTGCCTCAGAGCGACAGTGGCAGGAAGGTGGTAACTGATACTTGTGTGAAGCACATCTGAGTATTGCCTCTTGCTTAACATTTTGATTTAGGTGCATCAGTTAGAGAGGTGGATTTGTCTATCTTCAATTTCTTTTCAGTTTCTCCCAGACACAAAAAATGTAAAGTGATTGCATATGAATCACAGAATAAAAAAACAAAACAAAGCAAATGAAATGAAAGTTGTAACCAGAGACTGACATTGCCTTCAGTTTTAGTTTTCTCAGTGGATCTGTACATTGTCAGTATTTGTTCTGGATAGCATTTTATTTTATTGGTGTCCATAGCATCCAGGTATAGCGACATCCCTAAAACAAAATCCTCATATTTTCTGAAAATAGAATTAACTTAAAATAAATGTGGAGACGTTTTAGCATATTATCTGCAGTGTGTTTGGTGGAATCATTGGGGCCAAAACAGACAGGGGATATTTTGGGTCAGATGCAGCCACCACAAATGTGTGCAGAAACACACACACACACACACACACTTTCTCTCACTCACATATACACATAAATTCTGTCTACAAGTTCACTCAGTGCTTTTTTCAGCAGCCCTAACTACCTTTAAACCTCTGCTCTGGACACAGCTGCCTCAGCAAGCAGAATTTCATCCCTGCTTCAAAAAAAAGGGGGAAAAAAGGACTGAGTCAAGCTCAAAAAATAATGATAGTGTGTCTCTCCAACATGGCCTTCACAACTGAATCTTTAATTCATCCTCAGCCAGAGACTCAGGGCCTACGATGAAACCTTTTAACAGCCTCAGGAGCAGACGGCTGGGGGAAAAACACAGTTCCCAATTACTCATCACAGAAAGCAAGCAGTGTATAAAAAGAGAGCAAAAAAACAACAAAAAACAAACAAACAAAACAGAGAAGACAGACTACAGTGAATCGAAACAGTCCAGACTGTCTCTCTTTGACTCACAGAGGCCAACACGGGGCTGTCCGCCATACAGTTCGCTTGCACAAAGATCTGTTAGCTACAGGTCAGTTTCTTGACTTTAAGTTGACCATAAAATTCCCTTTGGGTTTAGGCGGAGGGCGGTGAGAAAAGTCATCACAGCTTTGCTTCCAGCGTTACTCCTGCTGGCTGCAGTTTCAGGAGGAAGCTGTTCCTCAAAATATGGAAAATGATTAAGAAACCATGTAAAGTTGTTGTTGGCATTTGTTACAGTCTTTGTTGTCTTCACATGGTTTCTATTTATTTATTTTTTTTTCTCCTGCGGGAAAGAGCCTTTGCCACTGGAGATGTCTCTTGAATGTATTTCAGCAAATAAAATAATCTTTGTCTTGCCCTCTACTCAAGGAACTATGGATGTCCTCTGTTGGCAGGCAGGCGAAGATGTGGTGAACTTCTCCTCCCCTAACTGAATCAAGGATGAATGCATGGATGTAAGGGGTGATGGATATGTGGGGAAAAGACAAAAAAATACATCGTAAGGGAAGGGTAAAGAAAAGTGGAAAGAAAATATATGCAGAAAAGCAAGAAAAAAAAGAAGTTCGAGGGAAATTGACAGAGAAAAAAAGATAAACAATAACCGAAAGCATGGAAATACAGATGAGGGAAATCACAGAGAAGATAATAACATTAATGTAATATTCTCATCAGTTTTGAATATACAAAACATATTCTATATTTTTCATAAATATAATTAATTTTAAAGTATAAACAAACACAATACAATTCATTAATATGAGATACAGATCAAAGGAAATGCAGCAGAAAAAACCCAATCACAGATTTCTCTATCCTCAGAAAATTCTAGAGGTGCGGTGTAAAAGGTTTAGTTTGAAACTGGATTCTTAGAATCTGTGTCTTGTTGCTTCAGCAGTTTTGATGCCTTGGATGTGTGATTAGCTCGAGCTAGCCACAAGGTGATAACTTCATCTACTTTCAGAGAAATGTGGATCCAAGGATGCCTCTAAGTCCTTAATTCATCATAAGGCCAGATGACCTGGCGGTGTTTGACTCTTACCTCTGGAGGAAGCAGCTGCTATACAGCTGTGCAGACTGTGCTGACTGTGAATTCTGTCTCATTGGCCATTATGTCAGTGGGTTGGATGTTGCGGTCATACATAGGGTTCTCGAATGTAGCTCGTCCATTAGTGTTCTCATGGCCCACGTAACCATTGAAGGGGACTTTGGGTCTTCTTCTACAATGAGATCAGTTCCCATTAGGGGTAGACAATACAGTCTATCAAGTATACAGCATATATATGTATCATAGTATAGATTAGGGCTGCAACTCTATTTGATTCACTGATGAATTGTTTAGTCAATAAAATATCAGCAAATAATGAAAAACAACTCTTCATATTTTTTTTTTACAAAACTTAGTACAAAACACAAAAAAAAAACAGCAAAAACATCAGCATAAAATCAAATTTGAGAAGCTGAAACCAGCAAATCTTTGGCATTTTTGCTGCTCAACTGAATGATTAACCCACTATCAAAATCTTATTTATATATTTCACAATTAATTGGAGGATAAACCCCTTGAGATGCACCATCTCATTTTCAGGGGCATCCTCAGACACAAAAACACAGATTTAACAGACATTTATACAAAAAATAATAATAATAATGAAGACAGTAACATCAGTACATACACATAAAAACACACAAAGAAGCCAACAATTTCTTTGTCAATCGACTGATAGTTTTCAACAGTAATATGGATTTGTCTATCCTGAATCGTACTGGTACAGCATTTTTAATTGTCACCTCTGCACTGTGCAAATTGAGATAGCCCGAACACTCCCTCATTCATTTTCACTCACTCACTCTGTTAAGGGACAATGTGTGCGAATACTGTATCGAGCAGTCTACTTCTTGTGTTATAAACCAGTAAATTTTCTTGGCAGGGAGTTTTCTCTTTATATCACAGATGATGATTTTGAAGGTCAACATGTGACTTAATAGATTGAAAAAATCTATTTCAAGTTACTGTACTTTGGAGGGTGAATGCAAATGTATCTTTCAAGAGAAATCAAACAAGATTCTTATCTGAAAAAAGCTAACTTTGTAGAGGTGAATTAAACCTTCACTAAAAATGCATCCAATCGAGGCAAATTAATGGTACAATGTTTCTTGCAGATGATGACTATTGTGAAATATATCAAAGTTGTGAACCTTACCTGTGTTTGTAGAGGTACAGAGCGAAGCCTGCAATGATCATGGCTATAAAAGGCACTAGGATGGCTGCCGCCACTGAACTGCTGTTGGACGCAAAGTTGTAGCCTGGGTTGTCTCTGCTGGGATCTAAACTCTCTGAAGGACAAAGTAGTAAGATATTGAGCCCTTGCTTTAGCATAGCTTTAGTACAATTTGACTTTAGCAGCAGACATTATAATCAAATCTCATAAACAGCACAATTAGAAGAAACAAAAAGGGAAATCATCCTGCTGCCAAGAACTCATGATAAAGGTTAAGGCAGATAAACAGAAAAACAGCAAACTAAAAGGAATTGTAATGGCTGAAGAGTGTTGCCAGAGAGGCACAGTTTATACATAACAGACTGAGCAGACAAATGACTTTTTTAAGTTTATTGCTATGCTTTATTTGAATGTTTCCCCCTTGGGAACCTCAAATTCCATTATTCTGACAATTACTCTTAATTACTGACATCAAAGGCCGACAGCTATTAAGTCATTTCAGATTCATTCTCTAATTTATGGAGGTGTGTGTCTGAAACAGCAACAGTGGAGGAGTGACAGCCCACCTGTTTACCACAGGATGCCAAAAAAGCTCCAATAAAGGACAAGTGACAAACAAGAAGGAATTCAATTAGTGGGTTCTGTGGTGTTTGCCAATCAACCCCCTGCTGCATGAGTGCGAGCACACAAACAGATGCACACAGAACACACTCACGCAGGCAAACTGCACTCGCAGTTACACCACCACTGAGTTAAAACAAAACAAGAAACCTCCACAAATTGAGGAGGATGGTTTGCAAGACGTCCAACCCAGACTCACATCTGTTTTTCTCATACACACTTAAACACACATACACATGGATGCCCTGGCACCAGCCCCATTCCTCGGTATTAATAAAGAGCTGTTTGCTCAATCAGTGTGCTGAGGCGGGGTGGTGGTGGTGATGGCAGGAGGGTTCCGCACCTGCTGTTCAAGCACCTCTCTCATTACAGCAGATTTACACATCCACTTTGACTATGCTCACACAACTTTCAGTGAACACACACTTAATCTGTCTGTGTTAACACAAATTCCAAATTTGTCAATTCCACATTCCTGCTCATATCTGATCTTTTTTAATACCTGCACTTTTGCTCTTCAGTTTGTATTGCAGCCAATATGGAGCCACTCCAATGTGGGCTTTGCTATTTAAAAGTTGCTAAATCCCTTTGAAATCTGTCACCCTCACGAGCATTAGCAAACAGAAAACAGCAGTAGCACTAGTATTATCTGCTGAACTGTTTGCATGGAATACATGATATAAATCTGATATGTCATATGGAACAGGAAATTAAAAAAAATCTGAATGTAGAGCATATTAGCTGCATTTTAAATGACTTTAGTTACATCCCACACAAACCTACCAGTTTGTCCCATTTTCCTACATGTAGTACATCATTGCAACCTGAACACAGTGTGCCACAGGGACGTGGACAGAGGCTAAGGCTGTCAAGGCTACATTAAAAATTACATTTTTTTTAATTAACAACCACTGATGGCTGATGGAGAGTTTAGTACTGGGAGAACAGATTAGTACATATCTAATTTAACGTGTATCAGATTACTTTGCAATCGTGTGTGTCTACTCAGCAGTGAGATTAAGTCCAACTTTTGGGGTTTCACAGAAAAACTTAAAATTGATCATTAAGATGAATGAGAAGAAATTATGTTTGATGTCCAAAACTTTTCTATTTCTCTATAAGAAGCAAGTCCACATCCTTTTTCAATACTTTTTAAAAAATTTAATTGGTGCACCAAAATGCACCAATTAAAATGCATATCAACATCGGTAGACAGAACCTTACATAATCTATATTTCTCTTCATGTGTGCCTTATATAGTTCAGAAGACTGGCACATTTTTGCAGTTATATTTGCATCAAACCTCAGGATGTAAGGATTTGCTGTATCCAAACTGTAGCAAAAATCACAGAGAGGGGGATCACATGGCTGGGATTTCTAGGTCACTAACATGAAGTAGAATATATGGATAGCTGTAGCCTTTTGAAAAACGATTTCTATACTTATGACAGCATTGTTGACGTTGCTGAAGGAACCAAAGAATGACATGCAGCAAAGGATGGATGTTATTCACTGTATCACGACTACAAGATGTGGGGTTACTTGAAATGGCAAAGACTCCACAGGCATCAACACACTACCCACAAACTCCCGAAGGAAAGACTTTGTGTAGCTGTGTTGTGGATGTGTGAGCGCGTGTGGATGTCATTTTCTGACTATTAATCATGTTTGTGAACTGTGTTTGCCCCTTTATGCTGGATTCACAGCCACATTCTCCAAAAGTGTTTTCACATTTGTAAAACTAAATAAATGATGAATCCAACACAGCAAATGACACGCTGTGAAAGCACTCGCAGCTAAGCTTAAGGGCACTCCACATATTTTAAGTGAAAGATTTCTGTGATAGAAATCCAATTAGGAAAATAAAAATAAAAAACATAGAGAAACAGTCTACGCCCAGAAGACTGTATGTCTATGTGGTTTCTATAACCAAGTGGACAGCTCACTCACCCAGTCTCTGGAGACCAAATTGGCCAAAGCCTTTTCCTCTGACAAATCCCTGGTACACAAAGGAGTTAGATGAAGAGATGTAGGACACCTAGGGAAAGAGAGGAATGGAAGACAGACACTTTATGTGTCACATCCAGGCTTTACAAAAGAGCGTATCATCAAAGTGTCAGCAGCTTGTGCACGCAGAAAATGAAATATCATGTCAAAGGAAGCTTAGAAGCGCTCTTATAGCTGACATTTAATATGATGTTTTTCTGCTCAAGAGCACAAACATAAACACACTCAGACGTGCTGCGCACATGCAAGCATGTTACATGAAAGCAATACTCCAATTTGCAAAGCACACTTGTATGTAAACATTCATGCACCGTGAGGCTTGTGACTTGCACACAGTGGCACACACACACACACACACACTTATAATGTGACCTGCTTTTTTAATTATATCTGGAGTGTGTGGTGCCTGGGGTTGGGGGATAATATGGGAGAGAGAAGTGGAGGGGGTCTGTCGAGTCCTGATTACCAGGCAATGATTTAACTGACATTTTAATTAAAGAGAAAACTCTTGGTGGGCCCTCCATCTCCCCAGAGTGACAAGGTTAGTGTGTATGTGTGTTTGTGCATATTTCACAATATGTGTGTGTGTGTGAGAGAGAGAGCGAGAGAGAGAGAGAGAGAGAGAGAGAGAGAGAGAGAGAGACATGTGACATCTTTGCAGTTACAAAGGGATGTTCTGTATCGAACCTGACCCTGGACTTGCACTTACATGTCCATCTAAGGCCCAGTTGTCTATTTTGAACTTGTTGACAAAGATTTCCACAGGGCCTCTGATCTGGTGGACCTGTAACAGCAGCTGAGCTTCCTCCCTCTTATATGTACCTACAAGAAAAAAAAAGTTTAGTACAAAACATTGACCAACAGAAAAGGATTATGTGAGACAGATACGTTAAAGAACCTAAATCTGATTCCTTTACCCATTATGCTGTGTTGACCATTGCAGCCATTCTATGTTGTCAATGACAGGAAGACTTGCTACCGTCTTAAATTAAGCTCAAATACAACTATAACTTTAGTGGCTATATAAGCACAGAAATGCACACCAGGAACATCTAGATCGTCGTCATTTATTAGTGTAGTTATACATATATATAAATCTGTGAGCAATATACAACATTTCAGTTTTGTTACAGTCAGCAAATACCATGAAAAGATCAAAGCAAGTCACAAAAAAATAGTGCATTTGTTGGGACTAGCAATGGTGTTTGTGGAATCAAATCAAAATAATACCATACCATGATCTACGTCACACTACTGTATACCAGGCTTTGGCAACACTCGTTAGTAGGATCAATTCCTTGTTAGTTTTGGTCTTTTCATGGAATATTTTGACATTAAGATAGACCACTAGACCTATCCTTTCAACAAACAAGTTATTAAAAAATAACATTTACATATTTTTTATTTGTAAGACACAATAATAACAAAGGGTTATATAGGGTTAGCAATTGTATTCATAAAAAAGTTTTGCAAAATTTTGGTGAAGTGACTTTCAATAATGCCATGTAATTGGACTGTTGTGCAAATAATCTATACATCTGAATCAGCAACACTGAGTGAGGCAATTCGTAGCTGTAGAATTTTTTTTTTACTACAATGTGAAGATTGATGGCGCCCAGGTACAGAAGAGTAAAGTGTCCAAGCTGTTACTAATGCAAATTTGTGTCTTGATGATCACAGTTGCATGGTGATTATGACACAAGGGAAAAAATTAAATGGTCTGCTGTTCGGTAACAGCAAGAATGATCTCCATGCAGGGACCACATTGATTTCTTGCTCTTTGTCCTCACTTTAATTTAACAGATTTATTTGTCTGTTTGGATAAACCCAACACAGGGGAGCCTCTGCTATGAGAAGGAAGTCAAAGAGGGTTTGTGTACTCTATGTGTGAGAGTTTTTTTGAAACTCTTGACTGTGACATCTGTTTTTGGTGTACCAACCAGCCAGCTTGAGTTCTACACCGCTGTGGTCGATGAGTGTCCCGTTAACCCGGTTGCTAAAGGGTTCAAAGGCAGTGATGCTGAGCATAGCCGGCTGCTTCTTCCCCAGGTACTCATAGGATCCCCTCCAGAGAGAATTCTTAGCAAATACACCACCAGGGACTGAACGAGTGGAGATAGAAGAGGGAAAGAAAAGTATGTTTTTGTCAACAACAAAGTGCCATGTGCCAGATCAGAAAATAGGGTTTGAGTTAGTAGTGGAGAGAGTCAATCAAAAGTTATAAAAGTTATATCATTCTGATGCATACTGGAATTTGTATACTAATTAATCAAAGTAAAGCAACTAACAAACAAATTTTGATGGGGGTTCCCATGCACTATACAGAAATAAAACTAAAACATCTCCAGATTCACAATGAGAACCACAGACAAAGGAGAAACCAAATACAATATTTGAAACAAATATAATAATATATTAAAGGATCTTAAAATACCAGAAGGATATGTCTTACCTGGTAACTTAGAGGGTGGCTCCTGCACTGTCCCCACCGGGCTCTTACCACTTGGGCGATTATCAGCTAAGGAGCATAACAAAAGAGAATCAACTGAAAAAAAAGTCATTTATAAGTCTATCCTGTAAATAGGCACGGCGAATGAATAAAAGATCCATTTTTCTCCATTAACACAACACCTCCAAGGTAATTGCAGTCGGAGAATGTCACCATCGGCACTTCCTGTTTACCTGCACGCCTAATAACCCCTGTGGTGGCCAGAGTGAGGGCCGCCTGCGCCAGGACTTGACTAATGTGTCAAAGAGCAGCCCGGTTGTCCCTGTGGGGCTACGGCTAAGTCAGAGACATAGTTTCGCTGCTTCCAGGGAAGCACTTTAATAATGCCTTAGTGCTCACACAGGGCCACAGGACTTCACCACAATAGTAAACATACACCCACACAGACAAACAGAGCGAAGAGGGCTTTACAAGCAACTACAAACAAAGACAGGTATACTGATGTTAGTTTATGAGCACAAACATAACCTCGGATAAATGTATAAAGACACAAACAAGCACACATGCACACACACTCCCACAGCCTTGTACTTTATTAGTTGCCAGTCTTCTGAGCTGCCCTTCCATCACTGCGCCCACAGGCACTGTTAATATCTTGTATGTGCTAAGGCCAGTCCTCTTTCTTTCCTTCACTCTTAATGGCATGGCCTTAAAAATCACCCTCTACATTTCAGCAATTGCTTGGCATGGATCCATCACATGGATTTCCCCCTCTAGTATGTCTTTCTCTTTAACCCATTAGCATTCGTCTATGCTAGATAATTGTGTGTCAATTACATTTTTTTTTCCTATATGTATTTAGTCCAGTGCTTGGGGGTGTCTTAATGGCAGTCTATTTGTCTGCAAGACCTTGTTAACAATGCCTCACCATGTATAAGAGGTACTTCTGCAAACCTAATCAAAGGGATGCATTGGCCTAATCAAGTTTTGTACCCTTGTTAATGTTTCAAAGTGTGTGTGCATGTGTGTAATTCCATGCAGCGTAAGTGTGTGATGGATGGGCCATTCTACTCTGGCATGTGTCTGAGAATACGCAAGTGTTAACAGAGCCATTCATCAACATTAGCTGAATCCCCAATATCCCAACACGAGTCCCCAGTGAATCCCGTGCCAGTACAGACCCCAGTGGTTTTAATAAAGACTGCTAATGGAAACTGCACATTATAAATATGAGGTAAAGTGTTTTAAGTGTTTAATACATTTGTGCGCTTGCCTGGGAAAGTGGGTGGCCATGTGCACACATCTGCATTCTTATGAGGTTTGTTGAATGTATCTATGTGCGTGTTTGTGCCTGCATGCATGTGTTTCTGTTCCCAGACAAGCAGGTCAGATGATGACCTATGTGTTGTCAGGTAAGTAATATTGTAGAAATGTAGCCACAGCGAAAGCGGAAAGAGTGAATGTGTGTCCATGTCTTTGCATCAAGTATTTCTCCATGTTCCCTTTATGGATGTAATGTAACTGTTATACCTGCACAGACAGGTGGTTTCCCTGTCCAGCTCCCATCGGACCTGCAGGTCCTGTGCTCTGATCCTCCGGCCAAGTAGAAGCCAGGCTGACATGTATAGATCAGTGTGTAGCCAAGGGATGGCAGTTCTATGGCTCTCACATCAGACTGGGCTGGTAGCTCCGGCTGGCTGCAGTGGTGGGCTGGAGAAAGAGAGGGAGAGAAGGATTAAAGAGACCAAAGAAGAAAAGAGTGGGATTTTAGAGAAACAGGTCAAAGTTGGAATGGGGAGATGAGCGGGGAGAGGGATCAGAGGACCAACAGATATGAAAGAAGGAAATATGGTGGAAGAGAAAATGTGAGAAAAAGAGAGCCATGGTGGAGTTGTGGGGTCAAGGAAAAGTATATAGGTAATATAGGCATTGAGTAATGTAAACTTTTGCTCAAGGTTAGGTTTCCTACAATACATGTATTTTTGCAACATGAGCAGTTTGTGTACTTACCAATGCAGTCAGGTTGAAAACCACTCCAAGTGAGATTGGGCAGACAAGTACGAGTAATGGAGCCCTGAAGTAAGTAACCCTTTCTGCAGCTGAAGAACACAGTGCTGCTGATCTGTAAGAGGATACACATGAACGTGTAGGGATGTGGAACGGATAATGAGCATACATGCTGTACATAACAGCAAGCTGATTTTTTCGTATGTATGTATGTATGTATGTATGTATGTGTGTGCGCGTGTGTGTGTGTGTGTATATGTCTAATATATTACCGTATGTGCCCGTGAAAGAACATTGAAAATGTCTGACATAATGAATTAAATTATTATTAATCATTGTGTTTAATGACGACTTTGGGATATCATTTTGGATTGGTTATATATTTTGTGGGGGTGAAAATGAATGTTAAATATATTGCTTCAATTAATTATTTTTTAGATTTGAAACAGTAATTTGTAATTGGCTAATTTTAGCTATGGAAGAAATGATACTATCGTAATGAATATTTGATTAAATTATAGTCATTCAGCTTAGGTGACAAGTCTAATAAAGTCTACTTGACCATCATGAAATCAATCATTTTAAAGGAAGGCCTCAACATTACATTTTTTTAGTTTTATAAACTCAGTCTTTTGCTGTGTGGACCGAATAACAACACTCACAATTTACCTACACTGTCCCCCTGAAATGTTCTGTCAAAAATAAGTTCACAGGAAGAAGCAGCAGCAGCACACATTGTAAACATTCAAGCAACAAAAGGAACTGGAGTACACTGACTGATTTGCAAACCGGTTTGTACAGTTAATGGCTACAAATCAATGACTGTGTCCATTCCTTTTGTTTCCTTGTAAGTTTGCTGTCCTCAAACTGAATGGCACATTATTCAGCAACCTTTAATTTCCTGAGTGACAACATATTCATACCTGGTAGCCTTGACTGTTGTTCTGATTTCCAAAGAGAGGAGTGCCAGGGTCTCCACAGGTGGTGTGAGTGGGATCTGAAACACACACACACACACACACACACACACACACACACACACAGCAATTCTATGATAACTACCTCTCATGTTGATTCAAGTCTCACTTAATGTACGTGTCACCCACGACAAATTAATATATCACCTTAGAGAAACTGTACAGTGAATTACATTTTTCACAGATCTGGTGTGAAATACTGACTGTAGGAGTGAAGGCCATAAATTATTGTATGCAGGCAACCGTGCACACATACACACACACACACTCACAACCTACAGTCTTTTTTTTGTGAATCCACTCTCTATCCACGCTCACAACAGCTTATAACACAATGACACATTCTCATTTTTGGGTTTCAGTTATTTCCTGTTTTATTTTGTAAGAGTCTTTCCTTGTGTGTCTTGGGTTATTTTACTTCCTGCCTTTTTGTGTTCACTACCTGATTGTCTGCCCTGAGTCTTGTTATCCTCCCCTCACTTGTGTATTTAGTCTGTGTGCTCCCCTTGTCTGTTGCTACCTCGTCTTCGTGTCAAGCGATCCAGCCCTTTCTCAGTGTTGGATTTTCTTATTTTTTGGACTTTTTTAATTTTGATTCTTGCCTGTTACCATTGGGATTTGTTTGTCTTTTGAGCTGCTAGCCACATTTTGACCCTTGCCTGTACAACTTTTGTTTTATTATTTAAAACAACCTTAAACTCAACCCGCTTTACATCAAAGTCTGCATCTAGGTCCAGTCCCTTGTTTTCCTGTTCTACGCTTGAACTAACTGTGCCATTATCAGTTCACATTTCAGTCATATCAGTTAACAAGCATGTGTTTCGTTACATCATGTTTCTCATAACAAATGCATTATATTGATCAACTCATTAGTTAATTATACATGTTGCACTTCGTTGCTAGTAACTCACTGCACCAATTTTCTGCAGCCTACAATGGGTTAGGAAAAGCAAGGGAGATTCATTCAGGTTCTAAAACTGCACAGATTTATCACATTCATTATCCTATCTCCAAAGGCAAGGCCAGTAGTTTAGCGCAAAAAAAGTTAAAGAATGAACTTGTTATTGAACAAGTTGAGCGAGGCAATTTTTTCCAGAGAATGTAGAGCATCTAAGAGGAGTAAAGAGATGATGTAAAGCAATGTCAGTGGTAGCTACATACTGTAAATCAGTGGTTCTCAAACTTTTTCACGTCAAGCCCCCCTAAACTCATACAAATTGGACCCAGGATCACCCATCTGATTTTAGTTTTATTACAGAATATGTATATATTATATTGATTTTCCTTGTTTCTAACTGCAGCATCCACATTTATCCCTTCTAACTCAAATTATATTAGTTGTATTTGTTTGCAAAGTGCAGATGAATTTACAAGGCAAAAAATGGACTCCCCGATTGACCGGGCCAAGAAAAATACCACACCAGGTAAGGAAAAATCTAGCAACTCACTCACTCGCCCGATCGAGCAAGTTGTACAAAAAACATAAATAAATTAAACACCTCGTTTTGTATTTTAATTTACTATCACGCTGCAGCAACAAGCATAAACATTCAGAAAGCTATATTTTAATCTTCTCTGTCCAGTCTCTCATCCGCATCAATAGCAAATTGTTACAAACCAGCTAAAATGAAAGCTATATGTATGTAGTCTAACTGTTTAGCTTTTAGTTTGACACCTACCTTTTTTTAAATTTGGTAAATTCTAGTAAACTGAGCTGTTGGCTGAGACAAACCAGCCCTTCCCCTTTCTTCAAGTGAATAACAACAGCAGCAGGAGGGAGGAGGACACAGGACAGCAGGAATGACTGATACTGACAAATGCTTGAGTTCTTCTTCTTCAATCCTTTAGACCCTGTATTTTGATGTTCATTTTTGATTTGTTTCCAGTGAGATATTGAGTATATATATGTAGTGACTAAACAGTTGCTTCTTCGTTCCGATATTGAATGTGCCTACGCCCGAAGTGGATCTGATTCTTGTTTGGCCTTGCGGGCTTCAGCGCATAAAACTTTTTTGTTGTTTTTTATTCTTATGTGGAGTTTGTGTTTGAGTCTGTTTTGTGATGGAAGCCACTTATTTTTGGATGTTAGCAGATTCCATTTCATGCTGCGGTGTTGTCACTGTGTGTACAGTTCAGAATCAGCAGGCAAGAGGCTCGGGAGCACATGCACAAATCCAAATTTCTTCACATAGGACGCAGCATAGTTTTTATTTTTTAGGTTACAACCTGGAGGTGCTCCGATCAGGATTTTTTGGGCCGACCACCGATCGCTGAAAGCAGTATCGGCCAATACCGATCATCAGGTCTTTTTGGAGCCTTTTATTTATCATGTAGCATATACAGTATACTGTATATTTATTTAATTAGTCCTAAAAACAATGTATAAAGTATTAAAATTAACAAATAACAAATAAAGTTTCATGAAATTAAACTGTTTATTTTTAGTGCCAGGAAACATGGGCAGCAAAGCCCACTCCCTCTGTCTTAGAGACTTAAAACATAGCAGCCATTGCCTTGTTACTGCGAACATCTTATCGCTTAACAAATATAGCTTTCCTGTGGAATAAACTACTAAAACTGAACAAACAGCATATTTACTTCAACTATAAAAACTGCAACAAAAAAGGCTATAGCCAAAATATTTAGGAGATAAAGGGGCACAGGCATCATGAGTCTATGATAAAATCTGAAATAGCCGTAGTAGTAACTTCTTCTCTTTTTGGTCTGGAAAGCTCAGGCAGGTTCTGTAGGCTTAAGGGGTAGAGAGAGGAGCAGAGAGAGAGGGATAGTGGGCTCCAGAGAGGAGTCATAACTGTCATCAATGAGATTTGAAAATAAGAGAAATTTAAATAAATAACAGTACAATGTTAATTCCACATTATACTGTTAGTATATTGTTAATATTACTTATAGTTACTATTTTCATTATAATTTCATGTGGTTTACCACTAGTTTAGGCCTAATATTATTTCAGTAGGTTCTTTTCATTTATTAAATCCTTGCACAAGAAGCACAGTCTACATCTTTTACATAGGCCTACTGAGCTTAACGGAGGAGAGAGAAGCACACTCTTTAAATACGGCCAGTAGGTTTTTATTTGATTTTATAAAGTTTAAAAAAACGGGAGATTTATGGGGAAACATTTAAACGGGAGTATACTGGGTGAGAACGGGAAAATACGGGAGAATCCCGGGGAAAACGGGAGGGTTGACATGAGAAGAGTAGAGAGAGGATCGGGGTAAACACTACTACGGTTTTTTAAATAGTTCTATAACGAATACGATCTTCTCCGTCCACAGCAGCGTTTTAGATGCGTAACAGAGTTGATCTCCTTCCATTTTAAAATGACAGAAAACACACATGGTCTACTTCGCAGAAGATTTGGCAGAAGAAGAAAGTAATACAGACGAAGAACCACACCAGGTATTTTTGTTGGATTGACCGACACGTGGAACTGAAAGCAACATGGGAGTACAAAGAGACTCAGTCGTTGCAAAGTAAATATCGCGACATGCACAATGCAAGTGTTATTTACACAGTACAAATATTTTAATAAAAATACAGAAAGTAAAACTCTGTCAGTAGCATCATGTTTTTGCTTTGCATGACTGATAAGACCGCATCAGAAAGCCAAATGTGAGTGTCTGTGTCATCGTTTTATAAAGTCCTCCGCTTTTGCCCACAGATTCACCATTTTAATGTGGACCCTTTTTAGAGACCACCAATCAAACAAGTTAAAACCATTCTCTGACCGATCGATTAGAGCACCCTTATTACAACCTGTTCACAAATAGGAAATAAAAGTGATTCATTGATAAGTGATTTCATTGTATCAAATGTTATGACAATGTATCAATCACAGTGGCAAGAAGGAGAGCGGATTGTTGTACCTTTTTCGATATGCAAGAATGTTTGTTGGTTTGCATCTATAACATACTATGTCCTTGCTCTGAATCATTGATTTTGTTATTTATAAAGATTTAACTTGACAATTTACTTTATTTGATAAACACTAATAAATGAAATTATTTGTATAGGGGCAAGTAAAAATTGAAACCTCCCCATTAATGTTGAACCCTGATTTGTGAGACCCAAAGGGATCTTGCGTGTTTGTGCTTGGATCACAAGTGCAATGTTTGCTCTGACTAGTGAAATATGTCAGAAATTGATCTTGCATGGCAAAAAATACAGTTTCTCCACATCTTATATCTACATTGTTCTACAGTTATTCTGAAATAGATTAAATAAATGTTCTGGGTTGTTTTAATTAATTACACCGATCAGAATGGAAAAGCAGAATCAATATAACTTGTTAGCTAGGTCAAAGGGTTTTTGCATGCATTATTTCTTGGTTGCAAAAGACAATCAGGCATATAAGGGAGAACACAAGGGGGCAGAATGCACGCCAGCCAAATGGACACTTCTTTTACAAAGATACTATTGTGTGTTTTATGAAAATAATGACATAGTACTCAGTGTTTTGTGCTCTGGTTGTGTGTCATTGCTTTAATTATTACATTAAGTACTGCATACTAAAATATTCAATATGATAGACTACTGTTTATAGTCAACGGAGGATCTTACCTATGCAAGAGGGTTGTGTGCCACTCCAGGTGCCGTCATACTGACAATATCTCCTGGTAGAACCCACCAGGACGAGGGGAGCGTAGCAGGAAAAGGAGACAGAGGAGAGATAGGTGAATCCTCGATCCTCCCTCCTCCCCTGGGCTGGCATCCCTGGGTCTCCACAGAACACAGCTGCAAAGAGAAATAGGGAATTGTGAGGTGACCCATATAACCATGTTGTGTTTTAATTCAATATAGTCCAAGGGGAGTGAAATGTCACATACATGATGAACATACTTGGGTGAATGAAATGTCAGAAAGATAACAATGACATAATATAATTGGGCATCCCAGAACGATGCAACTTACGGAAGCACTGGGGTTTCTCTCCACTCCAGTTGCCGTTTCCCTGGCATGTTAACACAGTAGGCAGGGACAGCTGGTAACCTTGGTTGCAGGAGTAGCTGATGCTAGAGCCCCAGGTGAAGTCAGTACCCACAATCTGCCCATTAGGGATGGTAAGTGGTGGACCACACACAATCGCTACAAGGAGACAAAGAGGTATTGCACGACTTTGTGGATTCTGCATATTGGGTTAAATGATAGTATTGCAAGTTTAAGTATAATGTAAGATGACCACCTCTGTAACAATAGCTGTAACAATTGCCCTGTGCGGTTGTCTAGATTTATCTTGTCACTGCATTGTCATTCACATTTTTCACAACTTTACCTTTACAGAGAGGTTTGGTGCCATTCCAGGTGCGGTCCTTGGTGCAGATAAGAGTTGAGGCCCGGTCAGCATCCATGGTGAAACCAGGAGTACACTGGTAACTGACTGTGCGGTTGTAGGTGAAATCACTGCCCAATCTCACCCCATTGGCTGGCACTCCAGGGTCACCACAGTTGATTACTGCAGAAACAAAATGGGATAATGAAGTGAGAACATGAACATGGGTAATACAATTCGACAGTAAGGACAGACATTGCTGAGCACAATGATAGACATTTAAGGATAGAGAAATATTCATATATTCAAATCAGTTGTTCATCATGTTTGAGCTATGTTACTTAATGGTTTAAGTTGTTTTATATTTATTTGTAATTCTCAGTAAGGCAGGAAATTAATATCCCACACATGGGATGAAATACAAGCAAGTAAACAGACTATTTAAAATTGCACACCAGATGGAGCCTCAGAGTTAATGAACTGTTATACACACTTGACCCAAGCAGTTCACCTCACAAACAAAACTTAACAATCTAAAAAGCAACATAGTTGATGTGTCTTTACGGATAATTACCAGCCAGAGACCTCTACTGTAATTGGAATAAAAATAGGGACTGTTTTCAGTACTTTGCCAGGCGTTTATATGTCTGTCTGTCTGTGGACAGATTTTTGCAACATGTAGTCATGAAACTTTACAGGTGTATAGTAGACATCAAAATGAAGGCACAGTTTGAAGATGGGTGTGGTCCGAGCAAGGGTTCCAGAAGCAGGGGGGTATGAATCGGAAAATTAGCTTTTTCAATAGCCAAAATTAGGGACCATGATTTTCAGATTTGTTTTGGTACTGGCAGATGTTGGTCTTCCTCACACACACACCGATATTAGTGCCACGGCTGCTGTGACCCCATTGCAAAATGGTTTCTAGTTAGCATGTCATTAATTATTGACAACCACTTTTGCATGCCATATTTAAACTGTATACTTCAAAAGTATATCTTTCAAAAGTTTGGAATTGCCTGACACAAAGCTTGATTTGGTACATTCTGATGGCTGAGAGGACTACTCCTGTTTTTGAATGGTCTTTCATGTTTTAGGTTGTAGAAAGCCCTCTTTACAAATAGATGTTATTTTGCATGGAGGGTTTGCAAAGAAATGTAATGTTTTGTACAGAATATACGATCATATAAATCATAAAATAAATTCTAACCATAGAATCAAAATCTGTGCAGATTTAAATAAAAACATGTGTCTCTAACAAGCTGGAATCAACAGGCATGTTGCTTTAGCAAAGCTATTCTTAAAACTTCAAAATAGAAATAGAAGGTTAGCATGGGTACCATAGGAATATCAGCGGACAAGTCATAGTTTAAACCTATTCTAACCACTAAGTAGACTGTAGAGTGCCCAAAGAAAAAATGGTTCCCAATATATTAAGAGCCCAAATGCAAGCACCGTTGTGGTTCAATAATCATCTAGGGTCACTTAGGAGGACTGGAAAACGAATAACAAAATCGAAAGGGATTTTGGGGAAAGAAATTGTTACAATGGTAATCTCCCCTGTCATGCAACACTGGGGTAACTAAATTAAAGTTTTAATAATTGTAATTATTCTTCTTTTGGGCACAATATTTTAAATGTAAATAATATATTTGGTTTTATTTATTATGTTAAAATATTCATTATTGAAGGAAAGAAGAAAAACAACAATAGGTAATTCCAAACTTAACATTTCGTTTAATGTAAACGAGAGTCTTCAATCACCATAACTGACAGTGTGACCGGTAATGTGTTTACTGAAAGATTGCAAGATTGCAACAAGATTGTCTCCCGTTTAGAGCTTTTAAGGTCCAGAGTGACTAAATATAAAATATGGGTATCCCCATATAGTAGCTCCCTAAAATTCCACTGTGTGACACAGCAGTATCACAGCTCTGCTCTGCTGTATGTCTAAGATAGAACATCCAGGGCAAAAGTCCCAAAACTAAGTTGCCTTGGGACAAAAAGGCATTATTAAATGCATATGAGCAACACTGCAGCAAACATCTAGGGTCTAGTGGGGTAAGAAAACTGGGCCTCTTGGAGTTGTAGTGTCTCCCCTTGAATGAGCAAGCATTTACATTTCCCACTGGGCTGGTAAGAGTGTGCCGCCTGGCGCCACAATGTCTATCTAGGACTGTGCACCCTGTAACAAGACCTACAGGGTTGAGATCATTTCTCCTCTTGCATAACAATATTCTTAAAATGTCTCTGGCAAACAGTCCACTGCTTTGGTACATGATACTGTAGATGTCAAATATTCTTTTTTATGAGTATATTTCAGTTACAGTAAGGTAAAATGGAAAGGCAAGGCTACAAAATGTTCTCTTCTAGCAGGCACCTCTGTCAAGTACACTGTAAAAACTAAAATTTAAGTAAGAATAATAATCTTAATTGAAGGCAAAACACTTTTTTTTTTGCTTTTATGTTAGAGAATTTCACTTGTTTCAAGTTTATTTATGAAGTAGCAAGTGAAATATTCTTGTTCGGTTGGCAGATCATTTTGCTTACTTTAAGTAATATTTCCCTCATTTTAATGCTTTTTTTCTTGTTTTTGAGAGCTCAGTTTTTGCAATCCGTTTTAGCATACAGTTTTTATCAGATCAGTAGAAATCATTCAAACAAACGTGCTCCAATTCACATGTCTATTGATTTCTAAAGATGTTCTACAGAAGTGCGTCAACAGGTACCCTTTCACTGCACCCTTTCTGAAATCCATAATGGTGCTGCTTAAGGTTTATCCTCTCCATTCAGAAGAAACTGATTCTCTTAGTGACCTCTATTTGCCAGGGTCTCTTGGCTCTGTAAAGTAGCTGTGTGTCTTTTGTGAGGCTGTCAGTCAGGCTTGTGCCATTTGAGTGGACCATGTCTCAAACTACTTTCCTCCTATTGAGCTTGGGGTCCACATCAGTGTCATTGATCACAACAAAAAGTGCCTTTACAAGTGATTAATGTCCTCCCATGACTTGCATGTTTTTATGCTTTTCTCGCATAACATATAATATCTCGCATTGTATTTCACTCCTCTACAAGGCCTGGATATGTATTCTGCTGGTATCAGAACTTTCAGAATGTCCGAACTACTGTTCAAGTGCAAATAAAGACGAGAGGCCAACAAGTAGATAACTATGTGTATAAGCCAAGGAAACATAAAAGTATCTTCAACTGGAGCAAGAATTTCCATTCAAATATACTAAAAAGATAAGCACTATCCATAGATACACTTAGTTTATTCTGTGAGAGCTGTTAATTACCAGAGCATTCGGGCATGTTGCCGGTCCAGGTCCCATTAACAGTGCAGTGTCGGGTAAGCAGGCCAGTAGAGTAGTAGCCCTCCCTGCAAGCGTAAGTAATGGATCTGGAAAATGTTAGGCCGTCGTGGATCAGGATCTGGGCATTCCGTGGAGTTCCTGGGTTACCACAGGAGATCACTGAGAGAGAAAAAGAGAGGTTGGTATTCTGCTACATTTCTTTTACACTGAGAAATGTTTCCGATATGTGTTCTTCACTCGGTTTGTATTCCCTTTTACTTCTTTTTCTTCATCAGCCCACCCAATCACCACCCTCATGATCTTCTCCTGCAACCTTCTTCATAAGTAACTTTGATAGACACACCCTTTCCTCAGAAAGTCCCTTGGTGTCTGTCTGGCTGCCAGAGATGGTTCTGTTCATTAAAGTCTCCAGCTTGCCCTGGGCCCTCAAAGCTCTGTGGGCTTTGCCCTCCCGTAATGACCAGATGTGGCCTGGCCCTTGAAGTCTGTGCCAACCGAGAACAGGTGGGCAACCTCTAGTGCTAGTGGGCATACCACACACCAGAGAGAAAGTGAGACTGAGTGAGGCAAGAGAAAGAGGTGGTGGTGGTATTGTGTGGAGAGGGTGTAGTGTCTGTGTGAGTGATGGAGTGTTAAGAACACAAGCCTAGGAGACAGGATGGAGCTTCTGGAAATAACATGAAGGAAGAAAAGAGCCATGTGTTAATGGGAAGAAAGAAAAAAGGCAGAGAAAAAAGAGACATGAAAAGACCATGAAAGAAAAATACATGCGCAGATAGTACTTGTCAACTGGAAGGTGGAAAACTGTAATTTTATGGATGGTTTTTATTATTTTATTTTTGCGGAGAGATGAGTAAAAACACTTGGACACGGCCCCAAAATATTGATACTGTAAAGTTGATATGAAGCCCAATATGAAAGAAACATGGCAGCTCCAAGGATACCATCCATACTATTGATAGTAATTGATTCAAACTAAAGTTTATAAGCAAGACCACCTGATCCTTAACAGCCTCTTTCTACTTCACTTTTGCTGCTGCATGCATGTTGTTTCACAGTGGAAAAAGAAGAAGAGCACACTGTAGTTTTGTCACTGTTTGTAATGTATTTGAGCCATCTCAGCAATTGTATTGGATAGTGGAGGGCCTAAATACCCAGATCGATTGGACGCACATGCACACACACACACACACACACACACACACACACACACACACACACACACACACACACACACACTACACATTCAGGGAATCAGCTTTTTCAGGTGTTGGCAGCAGAATGGATGCAATGCTGCACAAGGACAAAAGCCTTATGGTGTTTAATCAATAGAGAAAACATCCTCTGTAATGTCTCTCATTCTCTCTTGCTCAATCACCGTTTTACATTTTTGCAAACACACACAAAACACATGCAAATTTGCGATGTGTCTTTCATTTAATTTGCAAGGGCAGTAGCTAATTATACAATCAAGGACTGTTACTACAGTATTAGCCACAATCTCTGAGTAAAGGAAAGCTTAATATGTGCAATTCAGTGATGGGATTTGTTGAGATCAGCTAGCTCTGAAAAGACATCAAAATGATGAAATATAAATACTCATTAGCAAAGTAACCATATTGTAAAACATTGACTAAGGCCGCAATTAACTCCAATTGATGGTAATTATTTGGGTGTCTATTACCCCTGAAATTACAATAAAAATCTATGCATACGGTTTGTAAAAAGAATGCAGCGGGAGTAATTAAACATCTGGGCAAAGGAAAAAGAACATGAATGAAAAAGGATACACAAACGAAAAGAGCACTTGAGAGAAATACAAGTTACTGAAATGAAATGTAGATGTGTTATATATGTCCAACTTCAGTTACCATCGTAGCTCTCCAGCTGGCCTGTACGTGTTCAGAGAACGTCAAATATAGTGTTCATTTATTACCGCCCTTAAGAAATTCCACCAGTTATTCAAGACAAGGTTGCCTTAGTAGCAATTTAATCAGTAGCCTGTACGTGATTTTCCCCAGCAATGTCCTCCAGGAATCCCAAGGCATTCCCAGGCCAGATGGGATATGTAATCCCTCCATAGTCTTCTGGGTGTGCTCCAGGGTCTCCAGTTGGACGTGGTCAGAATACACCCACAGTACATAGGGGCAAGCACCCGGGTTCAGTTCCAATTCCTGAAAAAACCTCAACTGGCTGCTTTAAAGGCAAACAAGCAGCTGTTCTACCCTAAGCTCTTCCTTGATATCCAAGCTGCTCACCCTGGCCCTAAAGGGTTTTACTTTTTTGGTCACTACCCAAAGCTCATAGCCACAGGGGAGAGGAAGAATGTAAATTGACCGCTAAATTGGGAGCTTCACCTTAGAGCTCAGCTCCCTCTACACCACAAACGGGGGGATGCCACATCAATCTGCCTATTGATCTCATCTTACCCCCACCTTACCAGACCCCAACATTTATGCACTTCTTCACTTGGGAGGGCAACCTTGATATTCTGTCAATAAAAATCAGAAACAGAATAGCTAATAACACACAGGCTTTGTGGAGTACCACTGTGAATGTACTATACTAACAGTATGTGTACATGGCACCTGCTTAAGTTATGTAAGGACCGGATAGCCAGGAGCGATTATCTTAGCTCCTCATATTCCCACAGCAACCACCACAAGACATGTTGGTTTTCTCCTAGTACACGAAACACAAGTAGATTAGCTCCCATGAACTCTCCAGTGTCTGTTTGAGGGTGAAGGGATGAGGAGACTAGGCTAAAATCCATATTGATCTATATGAAAGTCTGACAATTGGCCGGGGTTTCCTTCCTAACACACTGGCAAAAAGCAGTGTGATCCTGCTGTCTAGATGGTGCGTATGGGTTTCCGTTTAAAAAATGGAATTATACATCCCCTCCTACCCGTCTAATTTTGCCAGAGTAGAAAGAAAAAAAACACTGTCAATACCTATATGTATTCCTTACCATGACATTCAGGTTGGGTGCCGAGCCAGGTCCCATTGGTCAGGCAAGTTCTCTCTGGCGAACCCTTCAGCATATAGCCGGGCTCACAGCTAAAGCGGACCACACTGCCTACTGTGAACTCTTCTCCCAGACGGATACCATGTACAGGAATGCCTGGATCTCCGCACAGCCTGGCAGACTCCCCTGGAAAAGATAGAACAAGAAAAAAAATCTGGAAATTGGAAATGTACTCTTGACATAAGTGATGTTTTCATATTAAAACACACTATCAAATAGATTAGATTAGAAAAGTAACACAGAGCGACTGTCAAACATGAAAATAATATTCCCTATCCTCCATAAGGAGTGATAACCTTCCCAAAGGGTCTCTATATCTATTTGTTCAACATTCAGAAAATGTGCAATTCGATGTGATTTTTCATTTCATTGACCAGATATATATTTGGCATCTTGTTTCATAATTCTACATCCTCCATTTATAACAATCAAAAACCGTTTTGTACTTCTGTGTACTGTTCTCACTCCTCATTTTACAAGGCACTGGTCAACATCACTTCAATAGTGCATAGCTAAGAGAGTCGTGCAGATCTTTATAAAAAGGTTGTGTTTATTGTCCGTTGAGAGAACACTTGCAATCCATGGGATATATATGAATGTCGTGAATTGTGACATTAAACTGTCAGTATGCTATTTTATTGTTGGCTTGAGAGTCTTTATGTGCGCTAGTTTGTGTGTTTCTGTTACATCTTTGTGAATGTGCTTGTATTTATACCTATGCACATTAGCATATGTGGACACCCCCACGGCCTTTCTTGTGTTTATTACGTATACTACGAGCTCTGAAGCGAATCGCTGTAAGGGGAGAGAGAGCGTGAGGGATGATGTCTTTATAGTGCTTCATAACCCAGCTGAGGTGTGGGCATCCCTGTTCCTCAGTCTAATATGAGCAGATTAAAGCAGTTTTATGGAGGACACACTCTTTGCCCTTGAGGCCTGTAGGGCAGACAGGCAGCGCCATCTTTGGTCCACTTACTTCGCTCATTACCTGCTAACAGCTGCCACCCAAACTTTATTTGTTGGCCTGGTGTTACTAGGACATCCGTGTGACTGCGTGGTGATATTACACCTGAATTACTCTGAAGTATTAGAAGCAGGAAGCTATGAAGAGGATGAGAAGAGGGGCTACAGCAGCACATAGTTTCAAATATTAGAGTGTCAAATGTGTCTTTAAATCTTTAAATTAAAGTTGATCTTGAAAATCAAGTTAGAAAGCTTTCACAAAATGGGGCTGTTTTTTAGTTTTTATCATTCCCGACTATCAGATAGTCAATCTGGGTGTAGTTTTCCGTACCAGAGCAGTGTGGCGGGGAGCCGCTCCACTGGCCGTCCAGTTGGCACATTCGCGTTGTGTTGCCGATGATGGTACGCTGGCCGATGCAGCTATAGCGGATGACTGATCCTACTGTCCGACGGTCGCCTGAGATCTGGGCATAGGGAGGCATGCTGGGGCGGTCACACAGCACCACTGTCCAATCAGTGTAGAGAGATGAGAGAATGAGACCAGTGAACAAGTGATATTGCTCTACGGCCAATGGTGAAGAAGTGATAAATACACCACATACTGAATATATTGCCTTGTGAGCACTACTTTCACAGTGTAAGACCACATTTTATCAAAAATAATATCCCACTGATTAAGAGACTTAATTCCATCAGAATGCTTCATCACTTTATGAACCGGGTTAAATTACAAATACATAACAAGATTTCCTACTCTGACTGGAAGGAAACCCAGTAGGGATGAAACGGTTAGTCGGTTAATCAATTAGTGTCTCAAAAAATAATAATCTTTTAACAACAATGATAATCATTTAGTGCAAAAAATATGTTTAACATAATAACTAACAATAGATTTCTGTTTTAAGGAAATCAGTTTTAAATATTGATTTTTTCATTAGGAGTAGTGGGCCTGGCGAGTTTACACAGTTTTACAGTACTTCTTTTCAGTATATACATAAAATTGTAAATCATGCAGCGTCACTTACAACCAACCCCTGAGGTACTTACACAGGCACTTGGGCAGGGAACGGTCCCAGGTACCGTCCCCCTGACAGGATATCGAGCTGGTGCCCAGCAGGTAGTAACCCGGGTTACAGCGGTACGACACAGTGGTCTGGAAGCTGTAGCGATGCGGCCCACTGGGCAGTACCTGCCGAATGCTGTTTTCTACGTGGCCCGGCTCTGTGCAATTCACAACTGGAGAAATGGATGCAGAGGGGGGAAGAGAGTAAAGGTAAAAAGGAAAAAAATATGTAACGTGTAAGCGTTTGAGGTTCAGTTTAACCAATTATTTCCGCTGAAAATGATGATTTAATGTTTGAACTTTTTTCTAAGATATATACTATATATTTTCATATAGATATATGACTCCCTTTCACGTCAGGGAAGATGCCCATTTTACAACTAGGGTGTTCTTTCCTCATCTACCACTTTGACCCATCCAGCATCTATCCGTCCACACCAATCCAAATGAAGTAGGAGGCAGACTGGAAATAAACATTTGCTTCATTAGAGCCAGTCTCCTGCTGGCCACCGTGTAGCAGAGATGGTGATGGATGGGGAGCTCACAGGAGAAGAGGCACCATGTCAGTTTAGCACCAGATGGAGAGAGTTAGGGAAGGGGAGAATGAGGGATGAGTGAGGAGCGAGGGACAGCGAGGGGGGTGTTGTACAGAGTCAGAGAGGAAGAGGCCCTGATGGTGCAGAATATATTAAAATTCATGACAGAATGTCAGGCTATGACTGCTACCAGCACAAATCCATCTTAAATGTCTCAGATACAAGACACAAACCAAAACCTTACACAGCCTTAACAAAGTCAGAATACAGTGAGTAACAGTCGCAGTCTATTCTATTCTGCGAACCACAGCTAAATGTATACTATGATGCCAAAACTATAATGGCTTCTAAAACACTGTCTGGGAGTACCCACGCAGCCATTATGCCCCACTTTGCCTTGCCAGTCTTGCCCCATGTGTGTGCCTTTGCCACAGCCAAAATGAGCCCATTGTATGCTAATGTGACTAAAAGCTTGCTCGTTTTCATGCTCCCAAGTTGGCCAGCACAGCTAAATCACCCCCAAAATACCTATTATAATGTATTCCTTCCAGTAGAGTGCTGACCTGTGGTGCCATCATTTACAACTTACCGCATAATAACACTACAAAGTGTATTTGAAGCAGTGGACCTGCTTCAGCACGAGACTTTCCAAGCTTGGACTTCAGCTTTGAAAAAATGTGCTCGGGCAACATAGGCTCAAAAGTGATCCAACAGTCATCTAAAATGACTGACCTCCTGGTAAATTTTTGTGTGCGGCCTGGTGGGCAGGGAGAAAGGTAGTGAAAGGATGAAAGGAAAAGAAGAATAAAAGTGAGAGGGGAAGAAGGGCTGAGGTAATTCATCTCTGTTCCACTCAGAAGTGGGGACCCCGCTCACCCTCTCCTCCTCTTGGCCTCCTGCCAAGTAACAGCCCTGTAAGTGGTGTGTCAGAGTGTGTTTTTTTTCACTGTCCTGTGTCTCTTGCCTTTTATCGCTGAAAGACAAATAAACACACACGAGTCATCCAAAGAAGGCAGTGTTGGTGCTATTGCTGTGACTCAAATTGGTGGAGATTAGAGAGGGCTAGGAGACTGACTGGGTCCATGGTGCTCTCTTGCTCCCTGCATTATTGATGGCGCCTACAGACTCTTGTAGTTAAAATCTGGACTGTGGAAATCATTACATCTGTCTGACTGGCACCTGCCCCACCCTCACCTTTTTTCCTTCCTTCGTTATCTGCCCACTACTTTCTCTCGCTCTAAAAGAAAAACCGATGGTTCAGCTTAGCTAAGCGAAGGTGAGATGGATGAAGCGAATGTCATCCCAAGACTTCTAGTTTTCCACTCTAGTCTTCAACAAAGTATACGGCAGACTGGCGAGCGCGCCTCACCAAATGTGTCTCGAATGCTGTAATTAAGGTAATAAATCTGATTGACAAAAAGACCTCTAAGCTACTTATGTCTCCATTTCAACAGTAAGGGTAATGTGCCATCAAAACAGATGGCCACACCCACCAAGCCATCCACACACACACACACACACACACACACACACAGAGGAGCACACAAAATCATCAGCATCTCAGAGTCAGCATCTGCATGGAAACAAGGCCAATGCTAATATGATGTCACTACTAGAGCAGAGAGATTTAAGGCGTATGTCTGGGAGAAAATCTCACCTGCTTATGCATACAGCAGCCAAATGCACTTCTCTCTTCTTTTTTTTAACAACACTCCTCATCCCTTCATGAATGTCTAAAAAAAAGTCCAAATCCTTTCTCTCCTCATTTAAAACAAACTCATAAGTCAATCCATCACTGCTTCTGTCACTGCCTTGTCACATTCAGGGCCTGACCTTGCGAGCGCCCTTTCTGTGCCTGTCACAAAGCCCTCAGTTAGTGGAAACTTAGAGACAGACGTGGGTGCTGAGATACATCGCTTGTCGCAAAACACTGCCAAATTAAAAGTCCTTGGCTCGCTCATTCAAAGCAGAGCAGGGTACTTCTTATTCTGTGCAAAAGCCAGGACGCAGGTCTCCAAAGGCTGCTGTCTTTCACACAAGCTCAAGGATCCTGTGATTGTTTTTGGTTGTCTCTGCACGGTTATTAACCAAGTTTGTTTCTCTGACAGACAGGTGAGCCTTAGGGTGTAACAGAGGTAGCTAGGCTAAGAGGAAATATCATCAAACATTATCCGGAACCTCCATGGACCATGTGGTTGAGACCGTGGTAATTAAATAATTCAGGTTTCTCTTTGGTTTTTCCATTTCACTTTCCCCTAACATGCACCGTTTAAACTCTTTCTCCATTTGGATGTCTCTGCGCGTCATCTCCATCTCTCTGTGATTGAGGTCATCTGTGGTCACAGAAGATATCACCGTGCACAATACAACAGGTAATTTAATAGCTATCCACACGCATGGATGAGAACACCCTAAGACATAATGGCAGTGCATGTGGAAATGAGAACATTTTCTGACTCCTTGCTCCGTGCATTAGATAAGCACAAAGCTGATGTCAATGACTTATTTAGCTCTGAAATTATTCATAAAGCACAATACATATAAATAGCATTGTGAGAGTTGCTATGCTTGCCTATACATTGCTTATGTATCTGTGCTGTGATCATATATGCATTTTAACATTGCTCATATTTGTATATAAAAAGATGTATACACATACAGATTTTCAAGATATGGAGGTGTCTGAGAGAAAATTATTTGATAAACTGATCTCTCATAATAGTTATTTGGTCGCTCACATGAGAAATTGTATAACTATGTTTCCTGAAATTGCTTTTTTAAAAAATAATTATGTGCCCACTAGATCCAACTGTAGACATGATCGGGCATGTCTTCCATCTGTGCCGGTTCTTTCCATTTATCCTCCCATTCATTTGTAGGCATGAGGTTCTCCAAAAATCGTAAATGCACTGACAGTTTGGGCATCTACTTGAGACTCACTTTTACACCTGGGGAGGACGTTGCTCCACTGCCCATTGGCCTGGCAGGTAGATTTTACAGCCCCCTGCAGAACATATCCGGTATTGCAGACAAAGCGCACAACATCGTTTAAGTTGAACTGGGTTGCTTGGGTCATACCAAAGCTAGGGTTGCCAGGGTGACCACATGTGATTGCTGGGAAAGACAAAGCAGAAAGAAAATCATTGTTACAGATGGTGCAGAGTAGTTGAATCAAATCTTAATTTAATATCAAACACCTGAATAAACATGGCCTGGATTAGAAAAGGTAATGTGACAACAACAACACAGCTGTACAAACACAACACTGAAGGTGAGTGTTGTAAAGGATTGTAGTTTTTCTGTGAACAGTTCGGATTGCAAAGTTTAACCAACATAGTGTGAAAAACTGTTTTACTGCCACTGTTACTTTTTACAGTAATAATTCTGTAAGTCATGATGCAGAGTTTCTGTGATAAGATAGAAGAGACAGATGTATGCTATGTTCATCTCTGAAGTGTAATGACTTTGGAGAGAGCGACTAATTTAAAAGCCATCACTTTGAAATCCTGTAGACTGTGGCATTTTCAGTTGTGGAACTGGGACATCGAGCTTGTTTGTCTTCATAGAAATATATCATAAGATAGTGATGTTTATTGCAGTGTTAGTAATCTCTGCTGCCTGCCTTCTCTTCGACACACACACACTCACCAGAGCAGCTCCAGTCTCTCTGCCCATCTGTAGCCCAGCCACCTTCAGTGTTTATAGGCTATTACTTGTGACGTGTAACCAGAGAGATAAAGCTGTGTGAGAAAATGAGCGAGACTACAGAGTGGTGACGACAGACCGAGAGAGCCAAAGCAGAGCATTATAAAATTAATTTAACCCTAAAAAATGACTGAAGGCCCTACTGATGGCAAATGCTAAGGTAATGAATAGATCCAAACTCTAAATCCACAGTCCCCACTGCAGCTGCAAGTCTCTATTTTTGCCCCTGGCCTCTATTAAAACAATCTTGTAAAATGAGTAGTATTAGGGAGGAATACAGTGGATTATTTTGGAATAATTACCACATAATTAAAATGTCATGGTAAAACTTAGACATGAAGCCAAGGTGGCTTTTACTGTGTATTTAATCCTGAAGATTGTCCACATTCTGTAAAAATTTTCAACAAGAATTAATTGGTGATCAGTACCGGCGCCATGGGTCTAATCATACTGAATTGGCCACAAGTGTCCTAAACTAACCTGATAAGAGCATCCCTAGATAATATGTGTCTGCACTTATTAAAAAACATTGATCAGCAACACTATTAAATGGAGAAAAAAGTTGCCAACTTTGTTTACTAGCTTTACTAATAACTGGCACTTACGGACACAGACAGGAGTGCGTCCTGACCATCTGTGATCCTGTTCACAGATCCGCACCGAAACCCCAATGAGACGAAATCCTGGGTTACACTGATACACAACGCTGCCTCGATAGTTATAATTCTCCCCAATGATCTGTCCATTCACTATGGGCTCCGGGGTGCCACAATGGCCAGCTATGCATATATAAAGAAAAAAAGTCACAGTCAGACGTGGGTGTTGTAAATAACTTTAGAAAATTGCAGGATATTATGACGCTATAATTTTTAGGTGCTGAAGATCTCACCTAGACACTGGACCTGTGTTCCACTCCAAAGCCCATTGGACATGCACTCTCGTACCCGAGAGCCCACCAAGGTATATCCAGTGTTGCAGGAGAAAATGGCAGTGGCTCCATACACAGTCAGAGTTCCAATCTTGTTGCCATTTGGTGGAGTCCCAAGGTCCCCACAGGATATGACTGAAATGAGAAGACAGTATCATATATTACAAACTCATATGGGTAATCAACAATACTAATTTGTTTTGTTTGGCTTTCATTCATTTTGTTTTGGTTAGAAGATTTGTGCCTCTATAGATATGTTCTTTTCTTAATATCACAGTGGGATAAGATAAGATTGAATTTGGATGCAATTATTTGTTTTGCTTGAAAAATTACTTTTTTCTGGCAAAGGGTTTTCTATTTCTCAGTGCAAACTAGGAGAATTAACTCAAGAAACTCCAGTTTACGCTTACTCTCGCAGACTGGGCGTGGATCTGGGTAGTTCCAGGTGCTGTTGGCCTGGCAGCGAATCACTCTTTGACCCCGGTAATAATATCCTGGGTCACATATGAGCATCATTATAGTGTCATATTGGTTTTGAGTTCCATAGATCAGCCTCCATCTCCCATGTTCCACAGCAGAGTGGCCAATGTCAGGGCAGGTCACCGCTGGAAGGTCAGAGGATAAACAAACATTATCAACTCAAATATCTACTTGAGTTCGGTGCTGTTGCCAACATTACAAATTAGTTTGTAGGTGTCAATCGTAGGTGACAGTTTTTTAAAGTTTAAATATGCCCATGCTTATCAGTATGTCCTGTTCATAATACTGCAACTTCATAAACTGACTGAGAAATACTCACGAACACATCTGGGCTGAGCCTCAATGGGGCTCCACCTCCCAGATTCCTGACAGATCACGGAAGTAGTGACAGGCCCGGCAAGCCGAAATCCTGGATTACACTGGTATGTGGCCCTGGCTCCTAGAGAGAAGTCCTGGCCCACAATGCTACCATTGACCGGAGGCACTGGCATTCCACAGGACATGACTAGAAGGGAGATGCGGCAGGAAGGTGAGACCAAATAAAATATGGTTGGCATAATGAAAGCACAGGTAGCAGTATGTAGTATTTTTATAACTATATTTGTATGCAGAGTGCTTAGCTCACAATAGGCTTCCTGTACAAACACACTCCCAGAGCCGGCATTGATGTGCAGTAAACATTAGCTCAGGCTACCATCTGCACCATAGTAAACAATCAAGTCTAGAGGGAGCACATGCAATTCATGTGGAGATTACACCTGGTGCAGTCTTGACCAGACATTGAATGGCTGCCTGCTGCTCTCAGTTTACTTTTCACCTGATACTGTTAATAAATCCAGTTGGAACCTAGACCCTGAAAGTAGAGACTTTAGATTTCATGCTTTTGTGATGAAAATCTGAACACAAACAAATGAAGAATTCACTAAAACTGGAAATCTATGAAGATGGAGCAAAAGAAACACAGCATTGTAAAATCTACAATAACATTTAGTACTTTTGACAAAAACACTTTAAATTAAAACTGATACATCTTGCCTGAATAGCTGACTTTATTTACACACTAACAATACATTCCAACTTTTATAATGTGCCAATTTTATAATGTGCCAGTCTTAGTTGAAAGCAGGTAATAGCTACTGTTGATTCCATCACTAAGCACAGTGACAATAAGATAACTGTGACTATAACCCATAAGACTGACATATCAAACAATTCAGCCCAGGTAAACCAAATATCATTAATCTGATGCAGTGTTATCTTCAAAGCAAGGAATGGTTAAGTGAGCTTCCTTGAAGCATGCCTTAGGCTGAGGGGCTGTTGGTGATGGCACACTGTCAGCTGAAATCACACTTTGATCCAAAGCAAATGGATTCAGTGATAGTTTTTTCAATCAGCTTAAATCAGAATGACTCAACTTACAAAATACATTTCCTTCAACAATGTTTTCTTTGCACAGTTTTAAGGTTAATTTCATCACTTTTGAAAAGTGGGACTAAATGCTGAATGGGCCCGGTCACAATGATAACATTGATAACACACTGATTTGCATTTGCAATGTCAAATTATCCTCACTCGGAAGAAAAATAAGACAATCTAGTCTATTAGATTTCTGTATCTTCTTCTGTATCTATGTTATTCTTAACAACTTCCAACCTTCTCATCCTTCCTCATGACGTGCTGCTATGATTGGGGCCTCACCTTGGCAAAGTGGCACTGGTGCGTTCCATTGGTAGATCCCCTGCGCAGTCCGGGTGCATGTGGCACTGCTCTGGCCAATAAGCCGGAAGCCCTGGTCACAGCTGAAACGCAGGGTGCTGCCCAACTTAGTGCCTGTCAGACTGTGCACTGTGCCATTCACAGGGCTGTTTGGAGGGCTGCAGTAGGCCGCTATGAAAAAACATAATGAAATAGGTAAAGATATAAATATGCGTACCGATAAAATTGTGTGCAACAACCATAAAAACCCAATAATGATGCAAGATTATGCAAGTTGTTGTTGAGGAGGTGAAGGATTAATGCGCCTTCAATAGCACAGAGCCCCGGATCTCTTTTGAATCTGTCTTTTCCGCCTGGCGTGTTAAAGTAGGATATGTATTAATAGAAGCGCTTCTTTGCAATTTCTTTAAGGCAAAAACTGCGGACTAGAGACAAGGAAAATTGATTAAAAGGAAACTAATGTTCTACAAAATGAAACAGGAGTTTTTCAGCCGCAGCAGAGAAGGATCATAAAAGTGATGGATACATAATAACAGGAACAAAGTATCTGTTTTTGTTTGTTGGCTAAATTGGTGGCTGCAATAATCGTTTATCATCCCAAATGCTGCCAGCAACAGGTCCATGGTTCACAATAACATAACATCAGTACATGGATGTGTGACACAGAAAATGTTGCTCATTGTGGGGAGAGATTATGATGGAACTGGACCATGGACACACAAAATAAAGCGTATTATCCATTACACTTAATCACTGTGACCACTTTACAGTTCTATAAAAATGCAAATTCCAACTCAAACCACTCACACGTGGCAATGAAAATGGCCTCTCTTTCAAGTCAGTGGGATTTTTAAGCACAAGACAATCAGATTAAACTCCCTTACTGTATGTTTTCAGCATTTATGAAATGTTGCTGTCTCACGCAAATTGCTCCAGTGAGACAGAGAATATGAGACATTTCAAGTAAGCCAACAGACCATTATGTGGCACCGAAGAGATGTTGAAGAAAACAGATTTTATGTGGAATGTGATGCTGAGGTGCACTAAGAAAGATGTTTATTTCTTATTAGATGTTACACGGTAGGTGTACTATAGGTAATTTTATGAATTGTAGCATTCAAGTTTTAAACACTTGTCCTCTCCACAATCATCAAGAGATGAATTCTTATTGGCTACATGGGTAAGTATTAGAAACCACAAAAACCCAATGTTTAAATCCAATCATACTTAATACTTAAGACTGAGCAACTGTACGTTCCTTGGCAAGTCCGTCTCCTGTCTGTCACTGTAACTGGCAGCTCCTGAGCAATCCTTGAGTTCGATTCTTCACTTCTATCTGTTTCTAACTCATTTGTCACTCTTTCTGTGTTCCTCGTTTCTTCCCCCTTCTCTTGTCTATTTTAGCATACAGCTTGTGTCACTGCAATCAGCCCTGCAGCTCAGAGGAATCAGATCCACATTGGCACGTGACTGGATTGGAATGGATAATAGAGAGCAGGAGAAGGTGGTTGTGAGAAAGATGGTGATATAGACAAAGGAGGGACATATAAGCATGAGAAGATAGTGAGGAAGACTAACACAGTCAGGTAGATTGTAAGTTGACCGAATCGATTGAAAAGATGAATGTGTCTATATGAGCAGATATGGAAACAGTGAGAGAGGCTATGGATGGAGAGAAATAACAGACAACTGAGATGTGGAGTTGCTAGAGGAGATGTTTGCAAGTTGGTCATGGAAGACCGGCCCATGGAGTCAAAAGATGGATTGATGAAGAACACAGCCAAACACAGTGAATCTTCCTGTGCCATCTGTTCCTTCCTCCCTACCAAGGTACTACAGAAGACAACTCCATATTGACCATGGCAACTTGTGGGTTCTCAGCCATTACTTAGTCCGTCTGTCACTTAGCCTGAATTTGCAAAATCCATCATGGTGAAGAAAATAAATGAAGTAAAAGAAACAAGTGAAAAAAGGGGGAGAAAAACGAGGGGACATCCGGTTGGGGAGACCGAGAGCTCCACTGAGAGGAGGAGAGAGACGATTAGTCAATCTGGCTGAGTGGTGTTGATACAGAACGGAGGGAGCCTTTTAAATATTTACACTGTCATAATTCACAGTGAGCTATGCAGGTGTCGTATACCAGCAGATCCTTCATGGGAGAAGGACTAAACAGAAGAATAATAAGCAATACAAGAAACAACATTTACTAATTCCCAGGCTTGTGCTGCACAGCAAGGACCGCTGCAGATGCCTGCCACCCCCGTTAGGTTGTCATGGAGATGGGTCATATTCTTTCTGCAGTTGGCAGCCCAAATCTTGATCTTGTTGACACAGTAAACCAAAGGAAGAAATGTCCAGAAGTAACAAATTCAAACATCAATTTCTTCTAGTGAATCAATTATAAATGGACCACTGACATCACATTTTATAAAAAAAAAAAAAAAAAGCTGCAGCAGGCTAGTGTTTGCCTGGTTTTGACTCACCTGAGTAGCGAATGCGAAAGCCTTTGTGGCTGGTAGTGTGATCGAAGGACCAGTGCAGGTAGACTTTGTTACTGGAGCTGCTGATGCTCAGTGGGCTGGAATAGTTACCACTGAGGGTAATCAGGAGAGGACTCTGTCTGGATGGGCCTGGGTAGAGAGAGAAAAAAGACAATTAGTAAGAAGAATCCATTTTTAAAAGTCTCATCACTGTGCATCATCACTTTAATCACTGTGCAAAAGAATAAGAGTGGCAGTACATTTATGTAAACCACCACTAACATTGGATCTTCAAAATGATGCCATGTGTTCCATCATCTACACATTTAAATCTGAAGAATTATGTGAATTGCATTTTTCCTGTAAATGTAAATGGATAGAACCGAGAATAAAATTAATCCAAATTTCCCATTTCCTACAGATCAAATTTTATTAAAAGTCTGAATTTTGAGTATTTTCCCTAGTCATGGCTTTTGAAGGATTGAGCATTTTATTAAGATATCTTTCCATAATTGACTTGGCAGCCAGAAGGTTAGCAAATGTCTGTTCCCCTCCATTCGGCAGAAGATAAAAAGCACTAATCAGGAACACTAGCGTATACAACCGCCATTTTCTCAGAGCAGCTTGGCAGAGTTGCTGTCTGTGCCTCTAATCGCATGCAAATGTACAAGGCAGATGTAGATGTTCTGTCGCCATGAAGGAGCCTGTGTGTGATTTTCTGTTAGTAGATGCAGAAAGCTTTGTTAGGAACGGTATATTTACCAGTCTGGCTCATTTTAGCCTTTAATTGTGATATTGAGTATTTGGCTAAGGAAGTGTGGTGGGAGATGTTATAGCGTCAATATAGTACTGAATAGTAAATGTAGTGGGTATCACCTAGATCAGAAACAGGATGTTAAACTCTACTAAATAAATAAAAGGTCAAAATAATCATCATAATCATGTTGCTCAGCTAAATTACATGATACTGCATGTAACCATTGTATGTTCTTTCATTAAAGAAACAGTAACTCACCATCAAAGATCTCAAGCTCATCAAACTGACGGCTGGTCTGGAAGTGTTCTATAGTGAAGGTGATGTTGTAGCCGGGTTCTACTTTGACCACCCAGGAGCAGGACTCAAAATGGGGGAAACCGCTGCCTGGTGACTGGCTCATGATGACACCTGTGGAAGCTGTCAGTACCTCATTCATGGGACAAGTCACTGTTGGGAGAAATAAAAGGCAGAGATTCAAAAAATATTTAAATTATTTATTCATTTATGTATTGCTGTTGAAGGTCGTTTAGTTATACAAACTACTGATGGTTGTTCATTTTTTTTTGTGCATTCATTTACCTTGAAGCGCAAATTGGATTGGTTAGATCAGCAGCTGCCCAGCTTTTAACAAATAGTAGAAGTGAAGATCACCAGCCCTGTTTTAACCTCTCTTCACAGGTTACCAAGATTTTACTGATCACTTTTAATGCACTTCATGGTTTTGCTTTCATTTGTATTGCTGAATTTCTGCTCCCCTATGAGCCAGGATGCAACCTCAGATCCTCTGGCAGGGCTCTGATGGCTGTTCCTGAGCTCTAGACTAAAGGTGACCAGGCTTTTACAGTCAGGGCCCCTCAGCTCTGGAACACCCTGTCAGAGGAGCTGAGGTTTGCTGAAACTGACATCTTTTATATTACTTCTCAAAAAGCCTTTTATTAATTCTAGCACACCATTTTATTGCTAAGACTTCTTTTATTAGTAGTATGTATTTATATTTTGAGGAGTTTAATTTTATTTCATTTCTGTATTATTTTATTTGCCTCAGTCCTGAAATGTTTTAATCCTGTTTCAACCATGTAAAGCACTTGATTTTTTTTCTCAATGTGTCTAAAAGCATATCTAAGTTGTCATTCTGGTCCTGATACTGTTGCAGGAAACAAAGCTGTCTTAGCTAAGTCAGTCCAGGAAATGGCTTATATATTATATATAATAATTGACTTGACATGTGCATATTCTATCCTACTTGTCTGTATGTGACACATACGTGATGCTAACTTGGCGGTTAATGCTCACTTCTGCCTGGAAGTCCTATTGCTGTGGCAAGTCTGGGTGGACCACATCCATCTGCTCCTACCATTCCACCCTGCCATTGGTATTCTTGTGGGACATCTACAAGACATCCTTTGACATGTCCGAGTGGTTTCAGTCTGTATTATCAGACATACAACAGCGCTCCTGTTTGCAGCATTTTTGTTTCAAAGCTGTGAAACCCACCTCTTAATCTGCCAGAGCTATCTGCATACACAGTGGAACCCCAAAAAACAATCTGCAACATGAAAGGATGCCAATGCTGCAATGACAACACAATGCAGCATCAACATCGTTGTTTTCCCTTCCAGTTGTTTTAGCTTCTCACCTCGCCTAGTGCTAAAGAGGTAGAGTGTGAAAAAGCTCTTTCAACAGCATTTATTTTTCTTGTTTCCTATCTGTAGCTAAATCAGATACCATAAACATACATAAAGTAAATATTCTCACATGTGAAATTAACTGCTTTCTCCTGCATTTCACTGTTTCCTATATTGCAAGGAATCCTAAGGGCCTGCTTTGGCAGTACAAACTGTTTTAACACCGAAGCCATGCTGGAATTCAACCCAACAGCTCGTTAAGAGCTTTAGAATTAACAAAAGACCATTTCAAACTTACATAAAAAAAACATACATTTAACTTGTAAAACACCAGCCAGAGGTTTTACTTAGCATCATAGCAGACACACCATAAGATGCTGTAAATGTGATTAAAAAACACTTCAAAGTGCATGTGAGCAGGTACTATTTGCATAAATTTTGTATTTGAGAGTGTTTGTCAACCAAGTATGGCAGAGAATTTAGCCAGGAGTGTAAATGCCCCTGTTGTGTGCTGCAATTTGAATACTGAGACTGTTCTGCCTCAGGATAAGGCAGCACTTGGCACTTGCAGGTCCATTACAGCGGTGAAATACTGAATGCTCGGAATCGCATTCTAGCAGTGCCTCCTTTGTGGGACAGTGTGTATGTGCATATATGCCTGTTAGTGTGTATGTAGATGGGCCGTTTGTTTCTGTCAGCAATGCACTGTTTTGTGTGTATGTTCCTTGGCTTGTTCTACCTCCTCTACGTGTGTTCATAGGGGAAGTGATTATTAAATCAGCAGGAAAAAAGTTATGGCAGACAGCCTGGGTTAAAAAGCATTGCAAATAATTTTCAGCATTTGTTTTGCTTGGTGTGTCAACTGGATGGGATTTATTGCCTCAGGAAATCTCAGATATTGTCAGGTAAGCTGTCACTCACAGAAAGGCATGTTAAAATGATGTATGTTCTTGTCAAATACGTTTGCCACAACTTTCATTGTATAATAAACACAAAACAAACTCTAAATATCTGCAAACGTTGTTTACCCTAGGTCAGTGGAGAAGAAGCTGGGACCAAACCCCTAGACCACCAGGGTGGCTTGCATATAGTAAACTAAACTAGCTTCTCTTAGGATGAGATGCATGTTGTCAGTGACCTTTCACAAAGCTCCAACATGTCTTCAAAACTGCTTTCAGCTAGTCCTTGAGCTGAGGAAGAGAGACTGGCAGGGGCTCTTATCTATAGGCTGCTACTTATTAAACTAATCCAGTTTGAAATGAAGCATCAGTCTGCTTGGCTGTAAACAAAAGGGTATTAGGGGACAAATCTGACAGCTGGAAAAAGGCAGTTTCAACACACAAGGTGAGATCAACGCTGATAGAGCTCAAAATGAAATTTCACTTTAATGAGACAAGGAATGGAATAAACTGGTAGCAGCAATGGCAATATGTGAGATATCCCTTCTGTTTGTGTATAAACTGTTCTACAGCTTCCCAAGCGCAGATCCACACACATCTGCATTTATACACACACTTTTGTGCACTCCAGTATGCATGTCTGGACGCACACATGCACAAATCCACAATATAATAAGCTCGTAGTGCTGCAGTGCTGTTGAGATGCCTTTACCCATGTTGGTATTTAATTAGCATAAGCTGAGGAGCGATAACAAACTGATTGAAGGGGATGGGCTACAACATAAGCATTAGCGTGGATCAGGACCTAACAACTCTGAGAAGTCAGGGATGACAATGAAGATGGGAAAAAGGGGCAGCTGTAATCCTTGCTGAGGGACTAAAAGAAGGGGGCTAGGGCAAAAAAAGAATCTAGGGAACAAAAAGGAGATAGACAGAGAGGTGAGGGAGGCAAAGGGACCGAGTGGGATAAAGAAAGCTAGCTAGGTGGGAAACTAAGGTGATGAGTGATTATGCAGGTTTTAACCAGAAATCTGTCTGGGGGATAAACACAGGGATTTTGGATCATCAGAGCTCATTGTGCTTCATTAATGAATTCAAGCAACACTTTGTACTGATGCTGTTGTTTTGTGTGTGTGATGTTGGAACTCTCTGTGGTCTCAGCAGACAGCAGATGTAGTTAAGGGCTGTGGGTCGGCCCAGTTTAATCAAGTCGCAGGCAAATCAAATACTCTACAAACCAAGTGGTTGCTCCAATGGCAGGAAATATGAGAGAGGCTAAACCCATTTGCCATCATAACTGGCAACAATCATCTGGATTAAATAAAGAAAAAACAAGAGTGAGTGTGTGTCTGTGTTTATGTGTGTATTGCGATTGCTTTTATATATTGGCATGTATGTCAGTGTTAGGAGAAAGGGAAAGAGAGAGACTGAGCAAGACAGATCTGGGTATAGATAGACACCTGTGTGTTAAAGTGTGTGACAATACATTACACCGTGTTGTTGTGTTTTGAAGCAGCCTCAGAGAAGGACAAAAAAAAGAGAGAGAGAGAAACGGGGAATAAAGGATACATGTGTTACGTAAGAACAGAAGTCTGACGCTAGTGAGTCAGGGGAGGGAAGTGGCAAGTGAGGGAGGAGGGAGAGCAGAGGATGAGAGAAGATTCTGATGGGTGGGGGGGGGAAGCAACACTGCAGAACTGGTTATAGGCTTCAGTGCTGCTCTCTAGAAGACTATCACAATGGCAAGATCCACTGCTGTGTAACCCAGACACATGCTAGACCAGTGTGTATGTTTATACAGTATATGTAAAGAGTGTGCAATTGACTGTGTATGTGAGTGGGGGCAGCTAGACGTGCAGGGTCGTGCTTGTCAAGAGCTAAAAGTGGTGATTTGATAGGTGCAGCTGCAGCCGGCATGTCCCCTGCATTTCAATGAGCTGCGCACCTCGTCTCTTTGCTGCCCTCCAACTACGTCTCTCCCCGTCTCCCTTTCTCGTCTCGCTTTTTAACTCCTGTCCTGCTCTCACTTATTCGCCATCCTTCTGCTCGTTTAGCAGTGTCTCCTCCATCTTTTCTGGACAGATTTGTTTTTTTTTCCTCAATAATCCTGCTTACTCAGAGTAATCTCAAAATGTTCTCTTTCTACCTGTTTCTTCTACACATGCCAAGATTCTCCTCTTCCTTCAGAATCAGTTTGTTGTCTTACTTACTTTTCTACTCTCAACATCCTCTCACTCAACTCTTGACTCCTTCAGCTTTTGTTATTTGTGGCTCTCCTCCTTGTCACACTGGTCTGTGTCTATGCAGGAAAAGTGACAGCTTGCAGGAAGGAGGAATATGATGGAACTGTTTTTCCCCAGTACAATATGTCTATAAGGGGAACAATTAACAATTAACACAAGTGTACATTCACACCTGAAATGCACGTTAAAGCATTCAGCTCTCATTGACATTCACTTAGATTTTAAAAACAGAACGCAAATTTGTTTAGCTTAGCAAGGCAAAGCTATGTCAGTGGAAGCTTTCACTTGCGTATGTCTCAGCCGCAGATGTCTGCAGGTAAAGTGAAGGGTTAATAGGCAAAAGGCAGGACCTCATAGAGGGAAAAATAAACACACAAATGTCCAGACTTCATGTTTTCCTTTGTTATCTCCCTTTTCATCTCATGCTTGTATGATTTTTCCTATTTAGCATTTCAAATTTGTTACATTTATCAGATTTCACCTTCTCTCCCTGGTCCAACACGTAACCCACAAACGGAGTGAGAGACAGAAAACGACAAAGCAAGACAAAAGGAAAAAGAATCTAGAAGTTTTTAAAAAGATAGCAAGAGAATGAAAGATATATGCTTTTACAATAGCAGAGAGAAACAGAGGGACCCCTCTATGCACCCAGTCTCTTGCCCAGAGGAAAAGTATTGCATACAACATACAGTATTATGATGATGGAGTGTGTTGGGAACACTGCACTCATTGATTCCTCTGGGAGATGGATATCTCGGCATGCATAGAGCGCCAAAGCAGCCTCATGGGAGTCAAGTATCATCCACAGAGATGGAAAGAGCTGCCAAACTGATATGTGGCTGCGGCTGCATGACTACAGGCAGAAATAGTACCCAAGGGATCGAGAAATAAGGAAAAACTCAAACTAGTCTATGATTAGAGCAAAATGATATTGGCTAGAGAGCTGTTGAAAATAAACTCACAGAGGACACCTTAGGCAGAGGAAGATGTTTCACCTGTGTTGTGATATATTTGTGAAACATAATGATTTGTCGGGACCCTCTTGAAAATGTGATTATGGATCTCAAGGGGCTTATTCTGTGAACAATAAAATGTATTCATTTGAAGTGCCTTAAAATGTACTTTAGAGAAGTAGTAACTACTTTTGCAAAGAGTGCATGTACAGTACTTTAACTGTTAATTGTTTCTTTGCTGGTGCACAGTACTGTCGTTGTGTTTTGGACTTTTAAAGACCTCACTTACATAACAGTGTCACCTGTGTTTGCTGCTATTTGAACAGCTGAAATGCAAGGGAAAGATAGATGATACAGACCTACAAGATTACTTTGGAAAACTTTGGTTCTGCACCATCATGTTGCCCTGACTATTTGGGTGTGATTGAATCTCAGTCGTGTTCGAGTCAAGACCAGGTCTTAACCAAGCCAAGTGGCCAGTGACCAAATCAACCATTTTAAACGGGGCAGAAGACACTTTGACACTCAAAGACACTTGAATGTTTTTGTGTCTATGTGACAAACTGGGACAACCTTTTTTGGTCCAGTACTGAGCGAGCAGGATTCAGACAGCAGCAGCAAGACAGGGCTGCAATGTATCCTTGCAGGTAATTGCGCCTGTCAAAGCACGTCCACTAAAGTGCTTTTTTCCCTCCACTGACAGGCTCAGATTGTTAGTGTCTGACAACATTATGGAAATAATCCCTACAGAGATAAACCTTTTTTAAAGAGTAAGATTATTTTTGTTTAACTAGAAATGTAGTTATATCACTCTCGTCAAAGCCACCAGACTCTCAAAAACAGCAGTATTACCTCTCTACCGCTGCCTTTGTTGGTTAGTTTGTGTTCTCATTCATAGCATTCGTTTCAAATTCGTTTTTGACGCAGACACCGTGATCACCAGCCAATCAGGAATGGCGTAATGAGATAAATGCTTCTGAGGAATACGCAGGGAGGTGCATCCCATAGTAAGACATCTCACTCATGCTACTCTGAGAACCGGGGTTACGCAAGTAACCTAAAGTTATTGCGTGACTTTGGTGTTTTTAACCCTTTAAAACATCAAAGTCACACAACAACACTAACAAGCTGACTGAGGCAGTGGTAGACCAGTAACTCCCATTTTTTGTGAGCTAAAATTACTGTTTTAATCAATTGAGTCTGTTACTTTATATATATATATATATATATATATATATATATATATTATATATATATGGTAGTGGTATATATATATATATATATATATATATATATATATATATATATGACATATGGTAGTTTATAGTTTGTTTCTGGTTCAAGAAAAGGATCTTACTCTTTAAAAAATGTCTCTCTCTGAAGGGATCCTTTCCAGTGTTGTCAGACACTGAGGACACAATAACAATCTGAGCCTGTCAGTGGCAAATACAAGCACTTTAAATAGTCTGTACTTATATAGCACCTTTCTAGCCTTCCCAAACACTTTTACACTACATCCCATTCGCCCTATTCATAAACTGATGGCAGAGGGTAAAGTGCCTCTTCCACAAGAAACAGAAATTAACAGGAGTTTGGGGTTCAGCATCTTGCTCAAGGATACTTCAACATGCTGACTGGGGGCTGGGGAACAAACCAACCTTCTAATTAATAGATGACGCTTTACCTTCTATTCTCTGTTTCCTGCAGCCCTGTTTCACTGCTGAACACTGCAGTGCACTCGTGAAATACTGGACCAATTTCAGAAAATGTTACATAGACGCAAAACATAAAACAAACAAAAAAGGATCTACCCTATATACCATATATGTAACTATGACTTTCTGTTATTTATTTTTTTGATGAAATAATTTTCCTTGAAAAAGTTGGAGCTCTGGAGAACAAGTTGAAGATACTGGGGAATTCTGACATTTGAGTTAGATTTAGTTGCCAGACAGCAATAGTTTAAATGAAACTGTGAGATCTATACTCCATTGATTTCTAGGAAGATAATATCTAAGATAATTAGAAAAGATAAAGCAGGAGGAGAAAAAAAGTATACTAAATGTAGCTAGGAGGGAAAGCGGTATCAAGATGAGAAAAGGGAGAGCTTATGACAGGTTTATCACAGGTTTGATCCCTGATCAGGCAGGATAAATTTGGGCGGGGAAAGTGAAAAAGCTGTGGTTGCCCCTCCCTCCTTATCACCACACAGGTGCCCTTGAGCAAGACCCCCCCCCCCACCCCCAACCACTCATGTGGAGCTGCTCAGCTCAGACTGGGCTTGAATTTGGGCAGCTTTCAGTTGTGAATGTATAACTGTGTGAGTGTGAACAGGGGCTTCGTAAAAAAAAAAACAGCATGCAATTCCCTGGATACGCTTTCAAGTTTTCTAGACCTAGGCAGTCACTCACCATCACATGAGGGTGGAGGTCCCTCAAACTCCAAGTGTGTCCCTAACCGGCAGGTCAGGATGCTGTTTCCACTTAACTGGTAGCCTGGAAGACATCGGTAGCGCACAATATCACCTGAACCGAGAGAGATAGAGGAGGGGGAGGTACAGTCAATGACAGATCAGAGATTGTAGCAACAATCCATATGATTGATACAAATCAAAATGTTTTAATATACCAATCAGTGCTCCTTAGCCAGGATACTGATATAACAATGAGGTAATCAAGATGCATTGTGTTTCTCTGTGAAAGAGAAAGTGGAAAAAAGTACCATAATAAATCCCCAATGGGGATCCTATAGATGAAACACTATGTCAGTGTTGCTGCCTTTGTGTCTCTGAATAATAACGAGTCAAGGAGGTATGCAAATATACAGATAAGGAGAATTAATCTCCATTGTCTTCTACAGGGGAAAATGAGAGCACCTGCCTCAAATCCCTTTGGCTTTCTGATTATTTTGTCATGATCATTAATTTATACTCCTGCCTCAAAACTCCCTGGGTTGTGCCATACCATCACCTTATAGGATGTGTAGTCAATATCACAGTCAGTCAACCTGGGGCGATGTAAATTGTCAAGGCCAGAAGGTGAACCGGCAGTGAGATTAACGCTTCACTAAAATGCTACAATAAAACATGTCAGGATGGGACCGAAATCTAGTATAAAAATATCAGCAGTGTCTAGTTAGCTCTAATTGTTTGTCTATACATGAATGAATAAGCCTTTTTGTGACAGCATTTCAACCTACCAATTTTAAACTCTTTGCTTGCCATCAGGATCTCTGCATTGGGAATGATGGGAGGTGGCAGGCAAAACTGCAGCCTGTAAGCTTTATTGAGAGCATAAAAGACATGAAAGGAGTCAAACACAGAATTATGTGTGAAATATTTGGTAGAAATAAGGATCAAGTAGGGAGAGTAATTTACATACCTTGGTAGCTGATACGGAACAGTCCACCCTTCTCTGTGTTACTACGGAAACGTATCAGCACCTGATTAGATGTGCTACTAGGCGGGTCATTGGGCTCTCCATCAGTGAACACTCCAAGTTTTCTGGCTGTCTCCTGTGGGCCATCCCTAAAGGGAAGAAAATAGGTCACAGGTCAAATATAACAATACCTTGAAGTAAATTGATGTCAATTAGCCCCTGACCATTTTCTGTCAGCAGCCTCTGCTCAAATGCTCACTCCCTCTCTAACCATAATGCACCTCAAGGCCCTATGGCGCATATCTGTGAGAAAACCAAACAAAGCCACATGCCAGATTATTGTCAAGCAGCTTCCAGCAGCAGAGAATAACCAAGCTGCTCTCACTTCATCATACCCAAAGCAATTACTCTGTGCTGCTGTGGGTGATTATGTTGAAATAAGGTAAAAATTACAGATAAGCATAGAATGACAGGTCTGGATTGCGCTGTTCCTGCTAACTGCCATCAAATGGGAGTGTCTCTGGAAGCTGTGGCCCAGCCTTGGCAGTCCCCTGGCGTGGGCACGGCCGATTAAGCCAACTCCCAGATTCCTGCCACAACCATTCAGCTTAAAAACCATCTGTCTTTGGCTGTCAGACTGGGCATGGGAGATTACAAGCAGCTCTGGAAACGGCTGGCTAGGGACTGCTGCCTGACAGCACTCTGGCCAAGCCACCATTACGGGGCCCAATTTCCTTGGCTCAGTAGTTCAGTGGAGAGATACACAGCGGTGGTAACTGGAAACTGGGGAACATGATAGTCCCCATTTTGGCTCTGCATGAGCTTGTTGGGAAAGATCAATACAATGAGGGCCATTTACAGAAGAGCAACAACACGATAGAATGTGGACATTTTGGCTTACTTTAGCTATGTCAACTTTGTGACATAAACTCTGCATGGACTAAAAAATCTTCACACAATTTTTTATAAGCGGCCCAATCCGTAAAACTTAGATGTCACCCCACACCATGTGGACCTTTCATGTGGTCGTCAAGTTGCCAGGTTGGCTGGCAGTCAGATCTCCGGTCTCACTGAGAGCTGGGACCTTTGGAGTTTGTCTCAGGGAGAGGGGATCAACTGGGACTGGCAACCATCATGCATGCAAAATCCTGTCTTTGGTCGCACATATGGCAGGACCAGCAGTGCATCATGGAGGTGATGAAAGGAAGGTTTACCCCTCGATACTCAGTCAGGCAAAAAGATAAACGTCCTGACACAAGCATTAACACACGCACACAAAAAACAGACACATTTCCACCAGCCAAAGCTTACTCTCTCTCTCACACACACACACACACACACGCACACACACTTGAAGAGGTGGGAACATCTACCATATACTGCTCTGATTTGTTGTGGCTGGTTGCCTTAATTACATGGTAGTGTTTGGTACTTTGGAATATATAATAATATCATAATGTAATCATCATGTTTCATTTTGCAGTTTCTGCTTTTAATACCTACAAGAATAACTCACAATGTTATAATCATTTACATTTGTATTGGTTTCCATGTGCTTGAACATGCATTCAGAAGGAGAAAAAAGAGGGAGGGTTGTGATGATTTTAAATGACTAATGTAGTCTGTGTCACAGCGAGAGGGCAAGCAAGGAGGGAATGGTGGACATGAAAAGAGAGGAGGTGGCAGGGAAATTAGAGATGAGCTAATTGGATGCTGAATCAGTTTTGTCAAGCACCAAAGCAGAGGATATAGGAAAAGGCTGGAGGCGCGAAAAGTTGAAAAGTAGAAATAAGTGACAAGGAGTTTAAAGAGGGAGGAATGAAAGAGAAGGCATAATGGAGGTTGATGTTTCAAAGACACGTGAAGTATAGAGTTCAACATTTTGTTGAGATGTTCTTGAGATTTTTGGTTTGGGTATTACTAGAAAACTGGTTAGAATATAATTTCAGTTTACCCACAAACCAAAATGAACATTATCTGAAATTTTAAGATAGAAAATATACATAGTATTTCATTAAAGGATATTCCACATATTCAAAGCCAGCGGATACAGTTATTTCTTACCAGACGGTAATGAAGTCATGAGGCCCATGAACCTGAAGCAGGGTGAAGTTGAGCTTGATGCCGAAGCCAGGAGCAACGGTGATCAGCCAGGAACAGTCAGCTGAGCTAGGGTACTCCTCTGGGTAACCTGGGGAGAAGATGGTCCCATTGTCTGATGTGATGTTCCAACCACAAGGCACTGAGGGAGGGAAGGGGAAGGGAAAAAGAGAGGCAGAGTATATATATATCAGTGGGCCAGGAATCCAACAGGGTAGATGCATAATTCAACTGCAATGGGAGGAAAGAGGGGATTTTTCATCGCCCTCTTCTTCTGCTTCCCTTCTCAGTGTCTCTCTCCTCCTTCACTCTTCGTCTAGTGCCCAGGCACTTGTCTGAGCTAAAGATTAGCCAGTAAAGCCTGTTAGCAAGTGGGGACTTGGATGGAGTGTTTTGCTAAGATAACGCCTCAACCCTTTTCCATTGGGGGTGAAGAGACAGAGTGCGGATATGAGGCGAGGGGTTAGTGTGGACATTGCTTCTGAGGTGTGTGTATATGTACAGTATGTGTATGAGAAGTGGATATGCACATGTGTGTGTGTTTGAGTGACAGTAAAGGTTAAAAGCATGTCTATGTCAGAACTGACATTGCTAGAACCTTGATAGAAGTCCACATGTGCCTGATATCCTGAGGTTAAAAAAAATCCCACACAGCCTGACAGATATAGTAACACTCACTCACACACATACAAACTCCCATGCGCCTGGCCTCAAATCTGCATGCATAGAAATTGTAACTATTTCAAGCATTCCTCAGGAACTCAGGAGGTTCTAACCAACTTAATGATTACCAAGCTCAACATTCCCACTGGCACCCTTAGAAAAACCCCCATAGTCACTGTGGTGGAGCACAGAAAATCAGGAAGGAGTGGTAATCGCAGTTGTGCAGGAATCTCAAGCAACCCAGACAGGGTATTCCGCTTAACGGCACACCCTTGGATGTGCCTATGGGTACGATCAACCCCAAAGCAGAGATTGCATGTTTCATCCCTCTGTTTCTCTCAGGTGATGCTGTGTGTTCACGTTATAGAGCTGCCTGCTTTAGCCTTGTGGTTGATTGGTCCCTCTGCTGCTGGCTCACCTGTTAAATGAGCTATCGATCAGGCTGATTGATTAAACCCTGGACACTCTATGGAGCTTCACCTCTGGCTGACGCCATCAAGTAGCAAGCTACTTAAACCGTATATGTAAAAGAGTGTGTATTTGCTTGAAGGGTTAGGTGGAACAGAAAACTTGAAACAGTGTCAATTGTTTTTTAAATACAAAAAAACTAAACAGTAAAAAGCACACTATGCTATATAGAAATATAGTAAATGGAAAAGAGATAATGAAGAAGGAGGAGATAAGAACGTGAAGGTTAGGTCCAAAGAGAACTGTAAACAAACAACAAAGAAAAGGTACATGGGAAAGCATTTTTATATACAAAACGTGATGTGCCAAGACAAGCAGGTAGGTGGAAGCAAGGTAACAAAAATCAATGTACTTATGCCCCTCAGAGAAAATCTATGTAAATACTACAGTGAGATTCCGAAGAGCAGGTGGTACTGAGCTACACTGGGTCAAACATCATTTGCTGCCACATAATTATGGTTATGTATTAGGAGATCAATACATCTACTTTGCTAACAAAAGCAGCAATGTATTTTTTTGTAAGCAGTCAAGGGGCAGTGTGCAAGTGTATTTTTTGGTTACAATGAAACTGATGAATATTGATGATGCATAATGTATGATTCCAGTGAATAAATAGTGATGAAGTGATTAATGACGGATTATCATAGATGCATTGCCTAAACAGGAACAAATGTTCTTGATTACTATGTAAAGATGAATTCTTATAGAGAAGCTACACAAAATGCGGTGCTTTTGATTTCTCCCGGCATTTTTAAGTGCAAAGCCTCTCTTTGAGCTGTAGGTGAATACTGTGATAGTCATTGTTTACTCATTGTGTTGTCCCAGTCACCGTGTGTGTGGAATCTGGACTCACCCAAATTATTCTTAAATTATCGCTAAAAAACTGTTTTAAGGTCACAATAACGTCTCACCTGTTCGCTGTACTACCAACTGTGAAATATGGTTACAACCTCGCCTTTGTTATTTTGTCTGCCCTAAATGGCTTTGTCACTGTGAATGGAAACTGGGTAACAACCGAGTGACTAATCAAAAAAATTGAAACCAAAAAAAAGTGATAAAATGTGCTGTGTGAATTCAGGTATATTTATCCTATTAAGAACGACGTCTCGCTAATCACTTCATCTCCTGCTGTATCACTTCCTTGCACCAGGTCATAGCATTAAAGCCAATTCAATTACATTCACAGTCAGAAGCATCAGGCTACCTTCTCCTGTTCATTTTAGAAGGCAAATACACAGCACAACACATTTTAATGGGAGCGCAAAAACAGACACACACACACACACACACACACACACGAAAATATTACTGAATATTTATATTTTAAATGCTGTATATTATCACTGCATATTACATTAGTTCAGGAAGGTGCTATATTGAAATTACATTATCTAATTATTTATTCTAAATAAACTGAAACTACACAGGCACATGGTACAATGCAGAATACTCTATATACTATGAATAATATTATGCATGTCCCTTCACACACCAACCCATATGCATGAAAGCACATAAAATACAACACTCAGATAATATTCTTTTATCTTCCAACTTGTGAATATTGAAAAGGCCTATACAAAAGAAAATCGCTGTGAGAGAATAAACTCTGTCTCTTGTTCCCTCTGTCTTTTCACCCTGTTGCTCCTTCTCTCACTCACTTTATCTGCCTGCACGCCCATTCAAAGTTCCAGTGTCATGGCCATCACCTCACTCTGTAATTTTGCCTGCCTTATTGAATAATCGACAGCCAGAGCGTGAGAATTTGGGTCAAGGACGAGGCAAAAGAGAAAGCTCCCATTATTTTTCTTTTCAATTTAGCGTCTCTTTTATTCATCTTTTATTTGTCTCCATTCCTCTTTAGCACAGTATTGATTCATTGAAAATACTTTGCTTCATTAATGGGGGGTGATTATTCAGTTTAATTGCATTATTCATAATAGATAATGATTATCTCCATAGCCGCACTTCCGAATAATCATGTAATAGCTCATTACGTTCTAAACAGGAAGTTATCGTGTTATTACTTTGGTTCTACGTTCATGCAGCAGAATAGTCGCCACTTGTTCTAAAGATTATTGTGTGTTCAGGTGAAAAAATGTGTTCAATGTGCCTATTATTTGGTTATTGATAAGGCATATCTTGCATCTCTTACCTTCGCAGCGAGGAAAAGGGTGATCCCAATTGCGCGTGGTGCCATGCTCGCAGGTGAGGATGGAATGTCCCATCAGCTGGTACCCAGGCAGACACTCAAAGGAAATAGACTGGCCCACATTGTAGCCAGCACCCACCACTACTCCGTAGCGGAAAGGCTCTGGATCTGGGCACTCCTGTAGCTCATAAGCTGAGGGAGAGAACATCACGTACATTAGTTTTTCTAAAGTTAGATATTTTTATTCAGACATACATTGTCACATAGTATCATGGCAGTAACATAATTTCTCCACACAACATAGAAAAATTAGAACATAATGTGATATTAAAACACTATCTAAACTTGTCTGTGCTCATGGCAACAAAGTAGTCCAGGGGAGTTATTGCTTGTGTCTATTAGTTTAACAGTAACTGTGGCCACCTATAGACCCCCGTGACTGTTTAAGATTCTTTGTTTCTGCCTGAAGTTAGCAATCAATTCACTCAACCTCAACATGTGAATACTCCATAAAGAGCAATATAGCGGAGCATCCTCTATATTTATTTTCCAGCTTTAATTCACCTTCCTCATCTTTCTGTTGTTCTTCCTTCTTGTGCTCAACCTCCCACACAATCCTCCTTTTATTCGTCCCTCAGACAGGAGTTTTCAGGGGGAAAAAAATACCAGGGGTGGGTTCGACTTGTTGCCGGAGGAGTACGATGCAGTCATCAGAGGTGGTGTGGGTAAATCACTTTTACTTTTCCCCCCTCAGTTACAAAAGCAGGCAGTGAGCCTTGAAGAGCCAGGATATAAATATGAGTAAAGAAATTGATTTCTATGGATCACAGCTTCACTTTGTAGGGGATAACTCATGCAAATACTGCAAAAAAGGGGGGGGGGGTATTTGCAAATATAATGCTTGATTTATATGCTAATGTACACATAATTATGTAAATGCACAATGCTACCTTTCGATTTGCCGGCTCGTTTGTTGAATCACAAAATACAAACTTTGTGTGCCTGTTGCATTAGCAGACAAGGGCAATTTATTCCTTGCAGCCATGTGAATATGCAGTGAATCCTTTTACTGGCACATGATGGTGAAAAAATCTTTTAAGTGATCAACAGTTTTATTTACAGAGATTTATAGATCAGAGGAATTTACTATCTCCGTGAGCTGATTAGTTTGACACTGTCAGTTGTAGGGCTAATTCAGTAATGTTATGGCTTTATATGCATACACCTCACAGTAAAGTGACACTAATGGTACGTAAGTGAACATGGAGAAAAAAAGGATACACTCCCAGAGATGATTATTTATCATTCTGTAGGACATAATTCATCTTGACTTTCATTCTTATAGTGATTGTGTCAGTTCAGGGAAATATGCTTTAAATAAACATGTAAAAAGAAAAAAAAAACTTCCAATAAATGTTTTTAAAGTGATTGAATGAATCCAAAATTGTAACCCTAACCCTGGGTCGTCAGTGCGCATGTGTAGGCGTAGCGTGTATGTGTGTAATGGCAGGAGGAAAATTTGCTGAAGAGACGGAGCCACAGCTTCACCAGTGTTGTGCCAAGTTGTCCGCACCTCGCGGGACTTTCAGGTAATTTATCACCGTTGATGAACCACACAAAGAATATTATATCATTTTTAAACAGCCGCTACTTGAAATAGACCCGTGAGGAACCGCGACCGGTGAACGGCAGGCGCGCGCGCGAGAGAGAGAGAGAGAGAGAGAGAGAGTGAGAAAATGGTCAACAATAAGCCTCAGTTTAGCTTCGGCTCATTCAGTCTACTATAGGCAGGATTTGACCATTCTGATTCGACTATGTAAATCCTTAGTCGGGGACACTGAACCACATTTCGGTGACAGCAAAGATGGTTTGAAGCAGCCAACAAGCTCACTGAAGTCACAGTGAAGTAATTACTAGTTTGATCAAGCTTTGCAGAATAAAGTAACTCACAATACTGATACTGGCTCGTCTCTGCAATTAGCAAAATGTGGTCTTGGTGATTATGCTCATTATATGAGCATATTAACCAAGTCTATTTCTGTTTGAGGGAATCCTAAGGCTGATCATCATTTTATGCTCCAGTCGTCTGCATCTTTTACTAAGAGTACACTTTCTTACACATGATCCTGTTCAGTCACTTACCCTGGTACTCGAATCTGAAACCCGGTTTGTTCTGTGAATGGTCACTATGGAAATATACTGTGGTCTCGTGGGAAGTGGTGAGAAGGGAAGAGGGAATATCTTGGCCACTGAATCGGCCAATCACTGCACTTGTATCAAGGGGCCCATTGCGTATCTCAAGGAAATCATGGTTGGCCTCAGTGGAGAAGTTAAGGAACTGCATGTGGGCACCTAGGGGAGCATGAAGCAAGACAAAATGTTGAAAAAGAATTACCATTTTGTTCCTGAAATACTACTAAAGTACCCCTGCGCAGGGTCTCAAATCTAAATGAGTTTAACCATCTACAGCTACAAATGTAGTCATTCCACAGTCCGAGCCTACAAGTTACATAATTAAAGGTTCTTGAGTGTGGAAATGCCAAAGTGTGGCACGCTGTAAGAACCTCTCATGGGGCTCACCGTAACCAACTGGCAGGTAGATTCTCCAGGTGCAGTCGCTGTTGCTAGGGTAATTGCCAGGGAAACCAGGACTGAGAATCATGCCCTCCATCTCCTCCCGGATCCCACCACATTGAGCTGGCAGAGGGCAGACAGAACACTTCATTAGTATCTGCAAACACGTTAAAATAACATCACAAATATGGTTCAACACAGTTCTTTGTTTAGTGGGAGGGGGAGTCTTGAACAACTATAGTGCTAACAGAAAATACTTGATGACTTTACATGAGAAAGAAATAGTGTAGCATAGAGTGAGTTTAGTTTTTTAAAGCATAGCAGAGGTGAAACATTCAGTCATTTTAAACCTAAATTCCAAAGCCTGTAAGGCTATAATATAATATTTACTATAGTTTAGGTGGGTTCACATTGCTAGAAGGCATACACGCTAAACCTTTCATCACACATGTCACCTTTTTCAATTAAATCAATGTTGTTACAATGTTTTTATTAGCAATGATAAAAATACTGTTAAAGAATGAACAGAATTCTATTTCAATCAAATGGGACAATTCATCTCACTATTAAGGAACTCTGGAGCTCTTTTCTTTCAATGTGAGATATAGAGGTGCCATTAGCATTGGGTATCGTTTAAAATTTTACAATATCAGTACCAAAACCAGTACCCTTAAAGTGATACTGATACTTCATTCGATACCCCTCATATAATGTCACCTGTTGAAGCCATAGTAGTTCACTGGTAGGTTATTATTATTTTTATTGTTATTATGGACAAGCAAGGTGATCTATTTTTTTTCTTGTTTCAAAAAATTGTTACATAAAAAATATTGGGAAATTGTATCAGATCGCTCCTCATCCTAATTAGGTCATCCTCACTGGTAGTATTATCCTATAAGGGGAAAGACTACAGCTTGAGAGTTTTTTATATTTGAATGAGAGAGGAGTGAAGTAGTTTAGTGACTAAATAAGGTGTGGAAAACGAATTTCAGGTATTTTTTTGATACGTGTGTTGAAAGTAAACAACGGAAAATTATTTTATAAACTTTCAATCAATAAACTGAATTGAAAGATCTCCGCGAGTGCTTTTTCCTTTATGGTGAGTCACAAACCTCCCCCAAAAACAAGTAGGCTATAAAAACGATAAAAGAGTCTGTTTAAACAAGTCACAAAGGCTACGTTCAGACTGCAGGCTGCTTAATGCTCAAATTCGATTTTTTCCCCAGATCCGAAAAAGGCGTGCTCTTCTCTTTCTTTTGGTGTGTTGTTTGCGTGTTTGGCTGCAAGCAAAACCTTACAAATAGTAATTTGCTGCGATCTGGTTACAAAAAATATCGACTGAAGTACTGGTTTGATTGGAGATGTTTTGATTCTGCTCAATAATGGGCTGTTTTGGCCAATACCATAAAGGTATCCAGTAGTGATAACTTTCCCTAGGTGCCATATATGCCATATATTTGTTGCTCTTCATCCTTCTCCTTTGATCATAAAGCACTGACAGATAAATGTTCATTGACTGAAATTGAGGACTGACACTCAAAAGAGCTAGGAAAAAGGTATGGAAATACAAGCAATTATGGGATCAAGAAAGATGAAAAGAGCCTGACACCAAAATTAGAAAGATCAAAGGATGCTGAAAACAATGGTAAAAGAATCAGCTGACTCAAGGAGAAAAAGAAAGACAAAAGGTACTGCAAGGAACAAAGCAAACAATAAATGGGACAAACAGCCGACATAAGTCAGAGGAGGAAGAAATCAGACAGGGAAAATCAGGCTGCTGTACCATTGTGTTTCTGTAAGGAACAAGTGAGGGGTTAAATGTTATCAAGCAGCAGCACGAAAAGCCCGAGGTAATCAGGAAACTGCTGATGCCTGTGAACACGATGAATCTTCCCTCAATTTCAACCAATCACAGTCTGAGATGGAACTAATTAGGCAATAGTAGCTTGTTCCAATAAGTGGAACCCATTTGTCAAGGCACTCTCACAGGCAGGAAGACTCGAGGTGCAAAATGGGGAAGGAACCTAATGCAGTTTCATTCAGTGTGTGCGCTCAGACTTATAGGTAGACCTATCAAACTCATTTTAAAAGGTGCAAAAGCTCTTATAAACTCATACAGAAACACAAATTAGTGAAATATAATCTTTGTTTTTTACGCATGTCTCCTATTTTCATTTTATAATGGATTCAAGAGCTAGGTTATGTGTGTCATATAACGTGTTTTTGTGTGCGAGTTGTGAAGCAGTGAAGTGTATCTTTGTCACCTATAGTATGTAGTGAAGGTTAATCTGTTGCACTTCTTTACATTAGGACCTTGGGTCTGAGAGGCTCTTCAAAGTAAATACTTTGAAAAATGTAGAAATGAAACAGAGGGAGGGTAGCAAATGAAGGAAAGCTAGGAAGGAAGCTATTTTTACCTATGCAGAGAGGAGGTGGGTAGTTCCATCGTCTGACGGTTCCAGGCATACAGGTGATATGCGAGTTCCCCTGCAAGGAGCATCCATGCACCGAAGTGTGAACACACAGACAAAAGTGCAACAAAGAACAGGAGATGAATTAATATGTTATCCCCACTGTCACTCATCTGTTGTTCCAATTATTTGAACCTGCTTCCTGTCTCCACATGACTTCATGTGGAGACTAAATGACTAAATCCATCTGAAGTGACAGAGAACAACAGAGAGGGAGAATCATAGGCATATTAAGGAACATTTACTGTCACACTGCCAAAATAAGCTATAGAGCATTTTTTGGAAAGTACTGCAGTTGAGTTTCAAAGCTAACTCACCATAATGACTATAAAGAAAGCCGATGTTAGAACCTAATGGACTGACTCAGCTGACCTTTTCTGCAAATGTGTCTCTAGTCATAGTCAGAGAAAGCCTTGGACTGTTATAATGTACTCTTTCATATGTCTCACTGGTTAAGGACTGCTACTGCAATGGTTGATAATGACTTCAGACATTGTCAAGCTTAACCTCTTCACCCTACTTACACCTGCAGCAAGAACTCAGGTCAGATGCACCAGTCTATAATCACAGCATTTCTAGTAGATAAGAGTAGGAAACAATAGGGTACTTATGTATACAAGAAGGTTGGCAGCCCATATATATGGTGCAATGTAATGCAAAGTAACGGAGAGGCTGGATATCTGTGTTTGAACAGTGTGACTGATGTAATTTAACATAAAAATGTGATTCCATTCTTCAGTACTGACTATAATTTTAGTGACTTCATATAGGTTCATTCAGGTAATTCACCTCGATAATGCCTCTACTGCAAATGATCTTAGGAAAGCAATATTCTGGCCATTTACATGACTGCAAGTTAGTGGCAAAAGACAATGACAATGTTATTATTATCCAGAAGAAATGATGCATAGAAATTGGCTTTAAGTAAAATAACCGGAGCTCTTTGATGGAGCTCAGGATGTTTACATGTAATTATTCTGATTATCCAGAAAGAAACATAATTGAAATAATTGCCCCAAACCTTTTGCTTAAAACCTGCTTCTTGTCCTGTGGTTACCAACCCATCAGCTTCACCAAAAGTCTTGGCTATTTGACTAATGTCTATTATCAGTGACAGTGTTGGAGCCCTAGGCGAGAAATTATATATTGCCCCCCCCCCCCATCCCATCTGCCCAACTCTAAACTAGGGCTGAAACGATTCATCGATTAAATCGATTAATTTGATTCCTAATCCATCCATATTAATCCATATAACTATATAGCACACTGTTTCGCATGGACATTTATTACTGTTGCACATCGAGCTTACGCTGTGTGAACACGATGTGATTATGATGACACTGTGTGCAAAGTGGAGGAAGAGAGAGAAAACAGTGAGGGACGAAGAAGAAAGTGTCCAAAGTATGGGATTATTTCAAACTAAAAGAAAACAACTCTGTAATGTTACAGTCTGTCCACCTTAAAACGAAACTTATGTCGCCTAACATTACCACAACAGCACGACAGCATCTGATCAGAAAGCACCCGGTGTTATGCCAGCGTATCACAGACAAGGTAACAGCAACTTTAGCATTTAACTGAAATCCTGATTGATTGTTGAGTTGAAGGCTAGCCAAAGTAAGCCGCAGTCCTCAGCTGTAAATGTACACACATGCATTTGTTGTTCTCCTGGTTGGGCCGTGAGTTTGAGTTGTAACGTCACAGTCATGAGTTAACTGGGTGTCAGGGAGCTGCATCTTAGTATAACTTGTATAGCACTCGGGTGATGTTTGTGTTGGTAAGCAGTTGTCTGGTTGTTGGTCTGTTGATGTTGTTGGTCTGATGGGGAGCAATAGTACTTCTTATACGATGCAGAAGCTTCCTGTACTAAAATCATCGTTAGCTGCAGACCTACGCTAAACCATAACTAACATTACCCACCACAATGTGTATAATGTTCTGCATTCAAACTTATGAAAAGCCAAGTCAATAATCACGGCCAATAATAAGTGTCATCAGCCTATGCCATCCTCCTGACATCATAGTCTGTATGGTGAGACCAAACCGCACCTGGTATTTGGGGATGTTCCTCCAGAAACAATGTATTAAACAGAGATTGTTTTCCTTAATTCTGGTGAATTTATATGGGGTATATTTTTTGGTAGAAATGCAATAGCATAAGTTTTATTTGAACACCGGAGGGGACATTTATTAAGTGGGGGATCTGGGGGGACCTCCCCTTGAAAATTTTGAGCATTAAATATACTTCATTTCCTGCATTCTGGTGAACCTTTGTGCACTAATTTCTGCCTTTTCTGCATCAATTTATGGTGGAAATGTTTTTATTTACATAAACATTAAATTCATGCCACAGGTGAAAATTCAAACTATAAAAAAAATAATAGAATACAGTGCAGAAAGGCTCTCTGGCATTCTTTAGGTATTGCCTTTCAACATGTCTCTTCTGTAGATCAACTTTTCTCATTTAATAAAATCCCTGCTGAGTCAGCACACATGATTTAGTCTTCCCTCCTCTTTTGTGTTTGGTGTAGTAACCTCTATAAATGTGCATGTGGCACCTTTTCACCTCAATGATAAATGAATTCCTTTGAATAATTATTGTTATAATTTTTGTTATAAACCCCTAATAGCTCCTGTTTCAACAAGTTTTCTGCACATTCAGAATCTCTCCCGCATATTTGTGTTCTCTGACATGTCCAGAAATAATCGCAATATTACAACACCATCATCATTTAATTAGAATTCATAATATTTTTGCTTTGTCCCCTGACGGTCAGACGGTCTTACAGACACAGAACTAGATGAGACAAGCAGGTGAAAAAACTACAGGAACAAATGAAACTAACTGAAACATTTGTGATCAGGCAGAAATCTCACCACAAATCCACACAAATAAAACTTCAGCACCCCTGACAAAGTGCAGCTCACAGTCCCAGACTGGGCAAGTTTGCTGCTCACTTATTTTTATATTGCAAAACTAGCAGCTGAGTTACCATTCTGTCACAATCTGGATGCTAGTCAGATTGTTACAGAGTGGCCGGCCCTGTCTATTCCTATTTAAAAAATGCAAAGCAAAACCAGTAAAAAAGAAGGGACCGACATGAACCAAACTTGGATGGACTTTCAGATATAATTTCTGTGAACTCTTGCTTCAGTGTGTTCCACAGATGTCACCGTCTGCCTCTTGAAGCCCAGGTGACTACAATGGAAGCACTGAAGGATGTGAAGAACAGAGGCAGGGAGGCAGTTTATTGCACCACATCCTAATAAATTACAGGCAGCAGATGGATCATACCCATCCATATATCTATCCTGCCTTTTGACTATACGTATTTGGGCAACTTAAGGGGAAAATTGTCAAGCATCGTAGCGTCCAGAGTGGTTGACAGAGATGAATCATAACAATCTTCCCTTAATCTATAAATCCACATAAATATTTTTGCAGAACACTGAGCTCAGCACATACATACTTTGCATGCAAAAGGGTATACATCCCCTGACTGGTGTCTGTTACTGCTTAAGTCAGAGCACTCCACATATTATTGCAAATACGTTTACATCGATTTAATCATATTAACATAATAAGAGCATACAGATCACCACGGTAAATAAACTTCTAAAATGAACTAAACGTCTGGCTATATGATCCACTCCATGCAGTCAGCACCGGCTTCGTTCTGACATTTTGCTTTGTGCTCTATTGCAAAATGTGATTCCTGCTTGAAGGGATAACTGAAGAAAAGGAAAACTGACATCAGTGACACTGATGAAAGGCATGAAAAAGGATAAGCATCTACGTGGTTTCATGGTCATATATGACAGAACCATATCTGAAGCAAGGATATGTTACCTGTAGAGTATATCCAGGTTCACATTGGAAAGACACCACATTATTCATCTGAAGACGCTCCCCAACCTTGATACCGTTCATGGGAACCACGGGCTCTGGACAGTTGGTCAGAGACACCGCTGAGGGGATAAAAAATAGATAAAAAAAGGACGACAGGGACAGCAAAAGAAGAATCGAATAATTACACAGGATTTAAAATGAGTATAGTGCAAAATGCGACTATAATAGTGCAGGAGAAACATCTGACCCTGGGGAGAAAGACTACCAGCAAGATAAAAGGTGCACTCAGGGTGTTGGTACGTTATATCAAGTGGTATAAACACTTACTTTTGTATTCCAGCCTGAATCCAGCTGCAGACACACTAATATCAGAGAAAAAGTGGAGGTAGAGTTGGTTGGAGGTGCTGTTGAGGAGAGCTGGGACAGTGGTGCCTTGGGGAGAAGATTAATAGTGGAGTTTAGCAATGCTATCTCCTTCATAGGTCGACCATAACTAACTGCATAAGCTACTGGCAAATAGCTGAAAAGCTTGTTCTTTTTACATCTGCCGATTTAGGCATTAGGCTATTTGGGGAAGCGTGTGCATAATAGTGTGATCTACTCGCTTTTAACAAGACAAAGAGCAGATGCACTTGTTTCTTCCAGTGTGTGGGTATGTTATCAGCAGATAATAAAAAAAATCTAAACAACAACAAAAAAACTTTTAAAAAGAAAAAAAATTACTTCACACAAAAAAAGATGTTCTAAAGAGTCTGCATGACCTAAAACTGCTCGTTTAATAACTCAAATTTGTGAGCCTGGCATTTCTCTTTCATCTCTTTACTTCAGGGTACATCTAACATTTACTTTTGGTCGTGTTCCAAGCACAAACAAAAGGAGAATTCCCTGCTGCTGTATCCTCACTATGAGGGGAGTAGCACAGTAATAGATACTGTAAACAATCGTTCTCTTCAACTCCACACAGAGAAGGCTAACCTTTGTAGAAATGTACCAAGATTTTACCTGTGGAAGCTCAAACAGATCGGAATTTTGAAAATTTCCTATGACTACACCAGCTACTACAGCCTGTTGCTCTGTGACAACTGATGAGGCTATTACGTTGCTTGGACAATTCTTTTGGCAGATGTTGATGAGTGATTTTAAATTTTGTTTTATGTCTGTTTTTAATGCAGTTGAGGTGGGAATAAAACACATGTACAGCGAATACCTGAGAAGCTGCCAAGCATGGTGTCAGTGTTGTCTCCTCCGTCAAACACCTCCAGTGAGTCCCAGTTCTGCTCTGTGACAAAGCTGATTACCTGGATCTGAGACAGGGAAGGGAAAGAGAGAAAGAGGGATGTAAGATGAACACAATTAGTGAAAAGGGGAAAAAAAGAAGAAAAGGATGAGATAAAGGCAGGGAAATAAAAAATGAAGATTAATGAGTGGAAAACACAATATAAAAAGGTGTATTTGAAAAGGGGACACAGTTAAGAACTTAAAAGTATGGCCATTTGGAGAGTAACTTCTCTCTCCTTAAGAGTAGCAGTTGTCTTGGCCCTGACACAGTGAACTCCTTGTCAAAATGAAAACAACATCCTAAAAGCCAAGCACTTTCAGCCCTCCCATTTGTGCTCCGTCAGTCTTTCTTTTTATACTGTTTAAAGTACATAAAGTGTGAAAAACTGCATCATTAAAGCCATGAAGGGCTTACCAAAAAAAGCTACTCCTGTACAAACTGTAAGAACAGCATTCTGGATTTTCACAATCCAGGTTGCCTAAATGAAGGATTTTAAAACTTTGAATGCAGACCATTGGAGTGGTAGGCTTAGACCTAATATGCAATTCAATTCAAGTGAATGAGTGAAAGGGGGCTACACTGTGCCGTCCTCCGTCTTTAGCTCAAATTCATCCATTTCTCCTTCATTCTTTCCAAGCCCCACTTTCTATTCACTCTCACATCCATTTGTCGGCCCTCTCCTCTGTCTCTGATAGTTATAGATCGGATACAAGCCAATTAAAGAGGCTGTAGGGTCTCTAGCGAATCCCGGGGAGACGACGCAGATCACAGATTGATCTTTCATTAGGGGGCTACGGCAAATGTGCCGGCAAGGCACCTCGCTCCTTTAAGTTCAATTCTGGATCGTGACACTCCAATCTAATGTGTCTCTGCTAGCTGGTAGAAGGGGAGCAACAGTGAGAAAGACAGACAGAAAGAGGGTGAAGGTGTGAAAGAGATGAAGTGGAGTAGGAATACTAGAGATGAGGAAGATTCAGCTGCAGAGAGTATAGACACAGACCAAATCCTCTACAGTTACTACAGGGTGTGAGGGTGTACATACAGCCAGCTCTCTCTTCTTATTCTTTGTCTATTTCACTTCCAAGCTTCTGCGATTAGTGTGTAGTGCAGCATGCTAAGTGTGCCTGTGGGCCATCTTGTGTATTTGACCTGCAAGGACAGTCAGCGGAGGTAGAGGAGGTAATAGCTGAGGGATGGCACTGAGGTCATTAGCCACAGAGGCTGAAGCATAAGTCTAAAAACTTTCCTTCAGGCAGATCCATGGGGACCAGGTTCCTGATGGAGTTCCATCACACACGCATCAAAGAATAAGAATATGCAAACTGAATTAACTCCCAAGAAAGAAAAGAAAAGTAAGTGAAGAGGCAATTATATACACATTTATTTCAGGTTGTGCAATCTTAAGTTTCTGGTATAGTGATCTGCTAAATTAAATTCTAAGCCTCTGTAAAGTCTATAGACTACCATTTAGCAGATCTCCTGTACCCTGAGAACTGTAAATGCTATACCTTGATAAACTGTGGGTAGCACTGTTAATTAGCCCTAGGTAAGCTGAAAAGATATCACCACACAGGAGCGTGTCAAGACCATGCAGGGCTGTAAAGGCTATAGGTAAATAAAATCTGTTAATTCGTTTAAGATTCTGACCAGAGACCATTTTAAAAGTAGTTACTCAAAATGTTTTTAAGTAAACGGGTAAGTCACTGCAGCTCAGCCTCAGAATTTTCACTAATGGAGAGTGAATTGTTGTAAAGTCTGAATTAATGCATGCCTGTTAGTCTATTATAGTTTGTATTATGAAGTGCATTATTATTAGAACACTGCTTACTTTTCATATCTAGATGCTGTGTAGACTTTTTTACACATCTGTAATGTACCAGCCAAATGTAAATTTCTCTTTTCCTTTCCAAAACACAGATTTTGACTTCTTGTAACCACTAAGGACTTTGATCTTAACAGACAACACTTTGTCACACTTGTTCTCCATGAGCTAGTATCCGGCCTTTCTACAGTGGTGGACTACTTTTAGAGCGTTATTTCCTATATTATTAACACTTGTTGTTAACCAAGCTGAATATGTCTCTGATTTTTATTTTAATTCATTTTTGCGCAATTTGATTATTATAATTCTGTCCGCTGGATGCCAGAGAGAAACTCTATTATACAAACCTGGATTCCTGATCCTTCAGGAACAGTGATCTTCCAGACACAGTTAAGACTGTTGAGGTAAGGCTCAGGAAAGCCAGGAGATAAGATGGTGCCAGTTCGATAGGTCAGATTGCCTCCACACGGAACTGTAGGAAAAAAGGACAGGGGTGAAAATTCATATCAGCAGTGAACCAAATGGATCATATACAGACCGGATGTAAAAAGACGCGGGAAAAGTATGATTGGGTATTTGTATATAAGCATGCATAAATTTGCACGCTGAAATGCTTATTAAAAATATGTTAATATTAATCTTCCTCTTTAATCTATTTTTCCTCAAATATAGATTTGACTCTGCCAGTGGGATTAAGGAATTTTCTACAAACGTGTCAATATTACAAACAGGAGGAAGATCACACAACAAATAATACAAGAAAATCATGATAATATAGTTCATTAAAAAAATATTTGTCAAATTATCTTCACTTTTTACTCACTAAAGTGAAATCATTACATCCTAACTAGAATGGAAATGCACTTCGTGACTACACACAGTGTCTGATCCACCTGGCCGTGCAAACACACACACATTCACACACAAACACATGCACATTATACGAGACGCACTGTATCACTCCTCTTCAAACACTGTCCTCCCAGCTTGTTCTGCACATTTACACATCTGGTGACAGCATAGGAGCATCTGCTATAGCTGTATGTAGTGTGTGTGTGTGTGTGTGTGTGACAGAGTGTGACTTTGTATATACAAGGGGATAGCTCCATGTGAGCGCATGTGTATTTGTGACCCTCAGCAGTGCCTGCTGCCTGTGCGCTGCGTGGCTAAATCTCGCTGTATCGCTACAGGCAATGGCTGGCAGCCCACATCTGTGCCAGAGTAACGAGTCTTTGACACTCAAGGAATCAAGTGGGAGAGACAGACGGAGAGATGAAAAGAAAAAAGAAAGACACAAATAAAGACATGGACTAAGGAAGAAAGGAAGACAAACAAACAAACAAAAAAAACACACCCACATTGACTGGTGAGTGTTTAAAATAAGTGTAGGAGCCTGTGTTTGAGACTGTTTCTTGTCTGTATTTGAGTATTCATGCCTTACCTATACAGCTGGGTATGGAGCTGTTCCACTGTGCCAGGGCATTGGGCACTGTCAAACATTCAATGGCACTCGATCCCTCCAGCATGTAACCTGGGCTGCACTCAAAACGGATCACAGCGCCAACAGCGAAGTTGTTACCCATACGCCGGCCATTTCGGGGCTCAGGGACTGAGCTGCACTGGGTGGCACTGGTCCGTGGCACAGCTTTAGAGAAACAGAAAAACATGGTGATTACAGGTGACTGTTGCTGATTTGAAGTGAGTAGCCTTATCATTACCTGATAAATATTATAATTAGTTTAACAGACACTATTTTTTGTAGGATTATCTAGGAATCTCTAACAAAATAGTGATTCAATGGAGTAATTTGTTACAAAAGTTACAACAGGTGTCATTCATTCAGTCACTATGGTATTCAGCTTCTATTTGCCTTGTGGTTCCTTCGGGTTACTTACAATAAACTACAAAAAATGAATTATTTATTCATTAAACTGCCATCACCTTGGGATATCTGCAGCAAATGTCATTTCTGGTACAGTGCATTGTTTAAGGAAAATAACAATCCAAGAGAAAAGTCCCTCTTAGGGGAATAGAAGAACATGGGAGTTCAAGCACAACCTTTCAACAGACTGCTACACTTCTACAGGGTTAATGCTCCAGAGCACATCCTTCTGCCAACACACGCACAAGCACATAACAGCTCAAATAGTGGCTGAAGGTGAATCCTTTGGAAATCACACAACCAGTCATCTATTATGGAGGGGAACTGCAGCTGTAAAGGGAATCAAAAAGAAACAAGGCAGTAGGATTTGTTTGTGTGCATTTGTGCTACACACTTACCCTGGTAGACCAGGTGGAATCCTCTAGAGCTGGATTGGCCTTTGGAAGTGAAGCGGATCAGGATTTGGTTGGAGGTTGCTAATGGCAACGACTCGCCTGAGATGGGGAGTAGTTAAAGACACACAGTTTGTAATGTTCAATTTGGGAGGGTTTCTCTTTCTAGCTAAATAAGTACCATCTTATCACCTATGCAGTTAAATAACTAAAACATCCTGCATCTATCTAGTAATAAAATTTAAATGTGAATATTACTGATTATTTTTGGGACTCAATCTGTGGATCCAGCATGAAACTTCAAAAATGCAAGTGGTAAGAAATCTGCCAATGATTGTGTGAAAATGGACATACCGCAAGTCTCTGTATGCGGGTATATTTAGAAGCTATGTCTGTGCATTGAAGGAAAGTGCGAAAAAACAGTGTGTAGATATCTGAGCTCAGGGAAAATCTGCTGTTTAGACTAGAGCAGTGCTAGGTGCTAGACTTTCACAGAATGACCTAGTGTGATGAAAATATAATGTCTGTGAAGCTTTATAAAGGATTATTGAGCCCTTTGCAATATGCAAATTGATACTATTAGAATTATCTTAATATTTTACTTCCATACAGGACTAGCTTATCAGCTATGCTTATTGGAAAGCCAACAATTTTCTTCAGTCCCTTGTAACTAAATGGAAGATCCTGATCCATGATAGCATCCCGTCAGGTACGGCTGACTACAGTTGATCAAGTCATGTTCTGGGAGTTTAGAAGCTACTTTTGATCAGCATATGAGCCTTAAACAACATGTCAGCTCACTGTCAAGTTCTTGTTTTTAGAAATATTCCCAATTTACAGTGCATTTCTTTAACTTGTCCCAGTTGGACTATTGTAACTCTCTGTACACATCCACAATTAACAAATCATTACTGAAGAATCTGCAGCTGGTTTAAAATGGTGCAGCAAAACTCTGTAGAACCAGCTGTAGAGATCCCACCTCCCCTGGCTTTACCTTATTGGCTGCGCGTGAAACGGAATAAAATTCAAGGTTGAGTTTATCACCTGCAGTGTAAGGCTCTCCACAATCAAGCTCCTGCTTACATTAAGGGAGTCTTAATAGCACACTGTACAGGCAGGACTCTCAGGTCACACCTAATCAGGGCTTAGTGGCTGTCAAAACTCAAGACCAAGGGTGACTGAGCTTTTGTCATTTTACTCTGAAGTTTTCTTAACAGCAAATATTGTCCGTTTTCGGTGTATGTGGCATCTGAAAATATTTTTGTGCCTTCATTTGTGTTATTTTTTTTTTTTTTCGGTCTTTGTAAATGACAGTTTTTTAACTGAAATGTGAGGTATTTTGTGAGGTCTTCTCTAATATAAACAAGGTAGATGTATTTGTTATTATACAACTCAGGGTTTATAATGAGATACAGTTTTTGTTTCCTTTTGGTTCCGTTATACATTAACTAAACATTGCATTGCAGACTACAATACAGACATTTATCTGTGCCAAAATTTAAAATATCTGACAATATATCTAATCCCTAGACAGAGGATATTTTATCACTGATATTACTGATTTAATTGCCTGCTATCCTCATCAGCTTACAGTGTAATTAAACACAAGGAAAACCCCCATGATGTATCTACTGTGGTGGAAAACCATTTGTTGACTTGACGGAGAACATGTTACAAAGTGTGAGTATCTCAGTCTCTGCCTTTTTCTCAGTGTACAGTTGACTGGCTCTCTGCAGTCGATCTCATTACTCTGTGTCTGCTTGCTGTCACACTGTAGTAGGAGGCATACGTGCTTAACCCCAGAGGCAACATCTGTGTGTCTGCGTGTGTGTGTATGTCAATGAGTCTATGTGCATGGATGTTCTGTGCCTGTAAGTGCAACGTCCTGAGATATTTCCAACGGCACAGTCTGTTAATGTGTCATAACCATGACTGTTCAAGTTCCACTGTATGATCCCCAAGGCATGCTGAGTAGTTTATTACAGGAAGCCCTTCCTGCGTGCTACCATGGTGACAGTGTTTCATAATTTGCTGTGCTCGGCAGGTATTCATCCAGACAGATCAAACATATGTCAGCATGTAACTTATCAAACCTCTGGCCACTTTCCAATCCTACCACTTTGCCCTTAAAATTATCCTCTATGCTAGCATATTAAAGACTTACAAGGACAGATATGACTTTGGCTGGAAGTCAATAATCAAAAGTCAGTGGCGGTTGTTGGTGTGGACTGGTTCAGATAAAGCAGTGAAGGGGAAAAATGCCAGAGATTAACGCTCTAGCTGTTAAACCACAACTCAAACTGGTTTATTTATGGAACATTCATTTTGCATTTTATGAAAAAATGTTTATTTTATTCAGCCACAAGCTTGCAGTGAAGCAAAAGTTGCAAATGCATATTAGCTTTAAAAGTGGTCAAACTTAAATGTAGTTGAATTGAAATAGATTCCCTAGTCACGCAAAATGAGAGGCCAAAAGTGTGAAGTGATTGCCTTTTTATTTAAGAAATCAATTCAAAAATTAGCATTAAGATAAGTTTCCTTGATTTACTGAATCAGTTATTTCTCCTCTCTGCCTACATGCTGTCTCTTTTTCTTTTCTAATTCCCACCTTTTATCATTCACTTGTTCAACTCTCCCTTTCCTGCCATTACTCTGTTTGTCACCCCTGCCCTTCATAATTCACTATCATTGTCTTTTCTTCTCAAAAAGAGATTTGCCTCAGCAGACATGACAGTAATGAAAACATACTGTTGAATGCTACACTGAGACTAGTTTAATTTAATATGCTTTCAGCATGATCGCATCATGTTTTGACTACTGTGCTTTACCATGCTTGACAAATAATACCCTGCCAACCACTAAAATACTCATTACCTGACTATATATTTACACACATAATGACAGATTGTATATTTAGACTGTATTGCTGAATTCCTTGCTTAATAAGCTTGCAGATATGCATGTCAGTCGATTTGGGAGCATCAGTTTATCACACCACATAAAACAATGCACATCAGTGACAGCGTGACTTCCGCATATCCACAAGTCCACATGACTTCTGGATTATGTTTAACTCATGCTAGTTATGCTTGTGCACACAAGTTCTTCAGCTGCACTGTCTGTGTGGGCTAAAACTCTCCCTTTCCTTGCCAAATTGTGTCAGCTCTGCTCTGCCATGCCTGGTTAGAGAGCTCTGTGAACCTGCCGCCAGGAGTCCGCAGTTAATATTGCGTCCTGTTTATTGAGCTGTAAACTAGATTTTCTGAGGCTGCCCTGGACACAAACCAAAGTAATCATTTTGCTTTTGTCAAGCCACAGGGCCAGAGCAGGCTGAGATGGAGAGTTCCCCTGAACTCACACACCTTTTCACTCGAACCCTCTTGAAAGGTCGGAAATCCCCTAGTCAATTTATTTATTTTGGAGCCCATCGACACAGTTGTAGCATTCATCACATCCATCCATCAATTATCCTTGACCTTCTCACTTTTAACCTTTTCACCCTGTAACCTTGGCAAGCACTTAATACAAATGCAAGTAGAAAAGTTAAAAACAAAATGATTAATGTAATACCCATGTTTTAAAGTTATAATTCTCTATATTATGACAGTTGTGGTAATGTTAAGGCAGCTTTGAGTAGGTGTTTATCTTTTATTTCTTAATGTAAAAAAGCAGTTATTTTTCTTGACGGGAGTCAGGAAATCCCTATCACATTCCCTGTTTTAATCCGGCACACACAGTGTTTGTCTACATAACTGCATATCCTGAAAGTTGACGTGTGTTAGTGTAATACCAATGCAGATGTACGTGCATGCAAGTCTTCTTGAGCCTGTCTGCTGATATCTTATTCCTGTGACTCCTTAAGTTGTTGTTGTCACTGTTGAATTGTTTACAGCTCATTGCAGCCCACCTGCAACCACAGCCGCTCTGCCTGTGTCAGCAATTTGTCCCGAATTTAACTGTATCCTTACGAAACAGATAAGGCTAAAACAACAATAATTTTATTTAGCCCAGTATCATGTCACAAAAATAATGGCCAGGAGATCAAATTGTCAAATCGCATTTGTTGATGTGTTACATGCTGGTGCTGAATATGAAACTATGTGTATGAGTCATGTCTTGTGAAGATGCATGCAGACATCTGAATGTGTGCTTTTGTTTAAGTACCTGTGTGTGCTCCAGAAAGGGAGCTGAGAACTCGGGAGTGCTGTGTTGCCCCATCATAAACCTCCACAATGTCATTTAGAGCTGTCTGGAAGAAGGCGAACTGACTGAAGACCACTAGAAAAGACAAATATGGACAGAAAATTGACATTAGATGAAAGCTCAAATTAGTCATTGCATCACAGTCATGCTGAAAACTCCAAAATCCATTTGAAATGACACAGAAAATCCATAAAAAGTACTCTGTAGCATCCACATTCAAAAGAATATTATCAACAGCACTTTCAATCAAAGTGTCTTTTTTAAAGCGAGGTGGATAATACTGCCAGTTATGACAACACAACCAAAAAATGATATTACACGACTAGATCAGCAATCCTGTCTGGGCTTGATGGCTTGTCAGTACATGAAAGGCTTTGCCAATGACAGCCAATCTGTTGCACAATGTGCAGCTAAAGCTCCACTATGAAGCTTTCATCCTTTCAACCCATTACAACCCTTTCTACTGATATTGCCTGAATATATTCAGCCCTTTCACATCTAATCTATGTCTAGTTTATGTGTTGCGAATATTGCAGGTTAAAGAGAAGGATGAAGAGAATGAAGGAGGGAGGGAGAGGTGTCATGGTAGGACCTTATTCTCTAAGTTACACATGTTCAAGGTGACTCAGCTTCTGTTTCCTCCTGCTCAACTTCCGTGGTTTCCTTTATTCTTACATCCTCTTCATCTCTTACCATGATAAGAGAAGCTAGTGGTTGCATTGACACCCACCCTGTCCACTGCATTGTAGAAAATAGCCTATCATTGGGGCTGGTGTATCAGCCTAATGAGAAGCGGCAAGAATGGAGGCAAGAGCAATTTTGGCTCTGCACGACAAAGTGTGTTGCCTTGGGCCACACTGTCATTTTCCAGGAAAATGCAAATGTAGACTTTAATTATATCAATTTCCTCCCTCGCTTTGACTTCATTGAGTGAAATATGATCCCGACAGGACCCAAGAAGGATGGGAGCCCAGTCATTTTGGAGCCGCACTGGACCTCTGAATGGGCGTCATGACTTCGACATTCAAAAGACTGGGGCGAAGTACCCCAAAGCCAAACACATGCCAGCTGCTGCTGTTTGGTGTAATTTAACAATGATAGGACTTGAGCTTTTCCTTCGAGAGGTTTGATGCTGATAACTCATTAAAGAGCCAGAGGGAAGAGAAAAGCAAGCAGGAGCCAAAAAGAGAGAAAGACAGACAGAAAATGAGCAGAGAGACATTGTGGGCAAGTAAGTAAAACATGTTTGCTTCTGTATTTGCATGTTTGAGCTGTGTCACACTTCTGCATTGTTTTGCATTCTGAATAATTTGCTGCTCCTACAGCATCAGATCACATATTGGAGGCAAGCTGTGACCTTTAAGATGGAAATGCCAAAAAGTAGTGAAACTCCAAGAACTCTGAATATTCCGGACACCAATTATTTTTGGTGTGTGTGTGTGTCTGTCTGAGACAGACATAATGTATGCCCAATGTGTAAGATAGTGATTAAATTGCCCCACCAAAGAAACATGAAAATATGTGTATGGCAATGAGACAGATGGATATGGGAACTATCAATCACTGTGTGGTTTTACTGTGTCTAGAAAAAAATTAATTAAATGCATTCAGTAAACCTCTAACTAAAGCACTTTAATTGCAGGTTAAAAATATTGTGTGTGTGCGTGCCTTTAAGTTTTCCACAAACTCGTTTTCTCCTACGCTTATGATTAAGAATGTGCAAGTATGAAAAAAAAGCTCAGCTGTTTTCTTCTTACTGTCATTAGTTTCTGCAGTGAAAGACTATGCAGAATTGAGTGAGGCACTCAGTTTGAGCCTGATAAGGGCATTTTGTGCAGTATACAATAATTGCATCTTAATTAAACACATAATTACCCACCTGTACACACTCACAGGCACACACAAAAACGCACAATTAAAAAATCTGCTAGAAACACAGTAATACAGTGCTCTTCCTTGGCTTACCGTAATCCTGGGGCACCATCACAGAGTACAGACAGGTTCGTGAACTGCTGTAGTTGCCAGGGTAACCAGGAGACAAGACCACTCCCTCCAAACCTGAGTACTGTCCACCACATGGAGCTAGAGAGAGAGACAGAAATGAGACATGAAGAGACAGGGCAGACAGAGAAGGAAGGTCTAAAGCTAATAGTGTAAGATTCCATTTCTCTCCCCTACCTCCTGCTTTTCCATCCCCTCTGTTCCATTACTCCTAAATTACTTTTCTTGTCTGATTGAGGTTTGGGTGGACGATGTCCCTGGTGTTTGCCACAGTGAAATTGCAATGTTTTCCAAGTGTCCCTCTGGGTTAGCCTGGGTGAGATGAGGCCTGAATCTTCTCTCTTGCTTAAAGCCCCTAAAAAATGCTCTGTGCGTGCTTGTATCTTCGACCAAGTGCTGATCCCATGTATGCGAATGGGTGTTTTGCTTGTGAAAAATGTGCGTGGTGTAAGCGTGCATTCCACCTGACATATAATGAAGGCTTCACACTGTGAGAGCCAGATTCGGTGGCGTCTGGGATCTTTTACCAGCTTTCCAGGGGACTATGCACAGTGTGTGTTAGTCATGTCGTGGGAATGTCAAAGAACAGCCATGTTGACACAGGTTTTGTGGTGAATGTGCAGAGCAGATATGCAAATACGAAGCTCACTTCAAACTGCAGATTAAATTAAAGCTACACCCTTGCATCTATTAACATTAGCAAAACCCACACAGCTCTACACATATACCTGTAGGACACAGCTTTGCAAAAAACACATAATCAGAAATGCATGTTTACATGTGATACATCTATAAGCACTGATGTGGTTTGTGTTCCTAACAACTGTCTCCAGATGTCAGTGTTTACCAATGCAGACAGGTTTGGGTTTGTTCCAGCTTGGCTTGCCATCTCCCCCCATGATGCAAGTGAGGGTTGGGTCTCCCTCTAGTGTGTAGCCACTGTCGCAGTGGTAGGTGACAGTGGAACCCAGCTTGAGGTCGGCACCCACCCGCGTCCCATTGCGCACCAGGCCTGGCTCGAAGCAAGACTCCCTGGGGTTCTCTGTGGAGAGAGGTAACACGGTGGAAAATCAGCGACAGAAGGGAATGCGTGTTGGTATTCACTGAAAGGATTTTTGCATCAAGCTGCAGCAATGACACTGGAATAGAAATAGTTTTCCTCGCCTAAGGTTACTGATATTCTCAGATTTCTTACTTCCGTTACTTGCTCCCTTTTTCCCGCTAATCTGTGAATTCCTCTTTTAGTAAATATATCTCACTGACTGCCACTGTTCTCTCTAGCCCTTGATGGTGCCCTTTCATCTGTGGCTGCTGGAGGTATGTATGGGTATGGAGACAGACAGGCAGCTGATTGAGAGTGGCGTTGCTCTGGCCCAAGGTCTGCTGACTGCACACAACCGCCTCTCACACAACGCTTCACTGTGCAGTCAACTAGAGAAGAAAATGCACATACGCAAGCTTTCTCTCACAAACACGCACTCACCCTAAACACACTCACTCGCTCGCACACACACGCACACACACACATACACACACACATACACACACACTGTATTTTACCACATATCAATCACCACTCCTAAGGTCATAAGAAAGATGTCTTACTCAATCTACCATCACATTGTTCTTTGGTGGAAAATGTGCATGCGAGAGGAGGCCTGTCAATTTGGCACACTTTACACCTTTACAGCTAAAATAAACATAGGAAAGAATGCCCAACGCAATTTAGTTCAATCTTAAATACAGTCCACTCTGGTCTCACAGAAAACTTCAATATTTGACCACACACACACACACACAAAATGGAAGGTGAGTCCAATGTTTTCCTTTTGTTAGGAAAACTTTAACTTACAATTCAGTGCCTCAACTATATCAGCTAGTTAGAAAACTTTAAATAGGAAACACTTCAACAATGCTCATCTTTTAAAAGCATCTATTTGTAATGTTCATTTGGGATGGTAATAAAGAAGACTCCTCTACTTCTTTCTCATGCCAGTGGAATTTACAAGAGACATATTCTTACCCGCCACAGAGATGATAATGTTAACTTCACGGAAACTACTTGTCTGTGTTTATTTAACTTCAAATGAAAAGGGCCAACATGTTGGGGGTGATTTTTGCATTAGTTTTTTCTTGCTCCACCATCTGCCATTTAGAAAAGGGTTCAATTTCCACTATGAACAACAACCTCCTCCTGTTGTGTACCATCATACAAATTCCCTTTACTCTATAAAACAAGCATACTGTGTAGTAATAGCAACAATGTCTATCTCTAACTAAATATCTAATGATTTATTGACATGAAAATGCATATGTATCGCCTTGGATAAATGCCTAGTTTCTAAGCTGAAAGCTGGGGACCTGCTGACCAGACAAGAGGCTGTCCTTCATGGCTGAACAGAGTGCTGGGGCCAGGAATGTGGTCTGTCTGTCACCCAGGGCACTTTTCTAGACAGGCTGAGCTCTTTCATGGGCTGATTTAGACCTGAACCTTCCCTCGCCACTTCCTCCATTAAACCAGCACACCTGGTAGGAGACAGCAGAAGGCGTGATGGATGTAGCAGGAATTAGGTGTGGACTAGCCCTGGACACAAGCTAGTGGTGAGGTCAGCGCAATGAAGACGGCCGATTTAACAAGCCTTGTCCTGGGACATTAGTAAGTGTGAGAGAAAATGGATAAGTGCCATCATTTGTTTTGGAAAATACTCGAAGGAGTTTAAGTGATGTGATGTGAAGTGAAAATGAGCCTAAGAGTTGCTGAAGGTATTGGATTCAGTATTTTTCTGTTTGTATGAGTCCATGTCTGTGTCTATGTGTTATTCAAATGTGGCTTAGGCATGGAAAGTTTCTGCCCACATATTTCCTTGGAGAGCCTAATCAGACCATGGCCAGAGACACAGAAACCGAAAGACATGATGACTGCCTGGTGTAAGAGGCTGACGGCACCTCAGGCAGATTTTGTAATGCAATTTTCAGTGGCGGGCTGACCAAATACTAGCTGGGCCAACTCGTCAACTTGCTGCTTCCTCACCAAACAGACCCAAACCCGCAGCCAAACATGCTTTTGTGCCATGTTGTTTGTCTGAAACTGAGGAGGTAATTTATGTATTATTTGGTTATGGTTCATTAGTGTGGAGAATTGCAAGTGGGTAGAGGGAGTTTTTTCTGAGCCACACACTGGGTCCATCTGCTCTACCAGATTGGCCATAAAATATCACACACTGCAGTAAATATTGCTGGGAGTGAGTTAAGGGGTACGCTCTGTGACATTGTCTTACCAAAACACTTTGCTTCACCCCATTTATGTACCATTTGCAAATGATTCACAGAGCTGCATTGCATACACAGGTAGTGTTCTGAAATCATCTGAATTGGTTATATAGATCAAATCCCATCTAGCCGAGAAACAAAGAGCTCAGGGTCGATCTGGAATTGGTTAAACGTCTGATACCTTAAACAGCTCTAATTGAGGCAGGGAGATTTAGGAAGATTTAACACTGTTCTCTCAAGCAAAGCCCTTAACGAAGATGCCCTGTCTAATTTAAAGCGTGTTCAGCGTCTGTATATTTGTTAGGAAAAAGGCTTAAACATACAGGCAGTGAAGCGTTCCCCTGTGAGTCTGAAACACAGATGCAGAAAACACAGTGTGTTGTGCTATCCTTAAACCAACGGGCCATCTTTCAAGGATGTTTGTGATCATTCGGCACCATGTGTGCGGCACAGATCACCACGTGTGAGCAAATAAATCTGGGTCTCCCAAACAGCATGCTGTGGTCAGCTAAGCTCAGCCGTGAGACAACAAAATGTTGTTTGCTCTAATTTATGAGAAGCCTTTTGTGCAGCTGCAATGCTCTGATCAAAAAGAGCTTAAGCACACATGCGGTTGGCTTTTCATTTTCATAATTCTTTGTGTTAGTCGGCTACTAGAGGAGTTACAGATCAATGGCGGCGCCCAGGCAGACCATGGCACAAATGGGAGGGTGGTGATCAGGACGCTGCAGCACAGACACCCCATTCTTTCTCTGAAGCAATTTTCACACCACTAATCTCACTCGCTTTGGACAACACACAGTAGAAAGTTAAAAAGAAACAATCTGCAAGGTCGATAAGCAGCAGGGTGGGAGGGTACATCCACTCTCACTCTGCCAGAGGAAGAATTTCAAAACATGAATTGTTTAGGGGATAAAGCCTCACATACTATTTAAAATTCACTGTTTTGTTTAGAATCTTAAGACAGTGGGGATGAAAAAACTGACGATGAAAAGCTCTTTCACATGCAGACACAGAAGTTTTTGCTAGTTTGCTAGTTTTGACCAATTAACCAAATACTGTGTATTTTTCGAGTAATTCCTCTAACCATAAAGGCGCCCACCTGTGTACTGCAGCACAAATCCATTGCTGCTGAGGGAAGCATCGCTGCGGAAAGCCAAGAAGAGCATGTTGGAGCTGCTCTCAATGCGGTCTGGAACGTCTGTGCCATAGAAACTACCCAGCAAGGGGCTGAGGGAGTCTGGCCCATCGTAGATATGTAAGAAGTCATAACTGGGCTCCAAACTGAACCTGGTTACAGAGGCGTAATAAAAATAAATACAAACCCTCCCTGTAAACATTTGCACCACACATGAGTTTTAATAAGGTAAGAACCGACTTTACTGGCATAATTTAAAAATAGAAAATTAATCATTTTATTATACGAAGTAATAGGGTTAAATATGATAAAACCTGCATGGACACTAGTAGTGATTTTATTGTGTATTTATGTGTAAAATAGGTATACACAACAATGACATAAATATTCAAGTCCAAACACACATGTTGCTATTAGTTTGGTACTGAGACTTACTGGTTGAAGCTAAGAGCGATGACATAGTCCTGTGTGACAGCAACTGTCCAGTCACACTCCCTTCCATGGGGGTATGGTTCAGGATAGTCTGGAGACAGAATCAGCCCACTAGGACCTGTCAGGTTCCCGCCACATGGAGCTATGAATAGGTAGAAACTGATTAGTGAACGTAACAGTAAACAGCATATAGGCAACACATAACATTTCCAAAGGTTTTAATAATAATAATAATAATAATAATAATAATAATAAACACATTTATAGAGCATTTTTCATGGTCTTCAAAGCCACTTCACACAAATTTAAATACACAGGATAAAAAGATAAAAAGATCATAGCAACACACAAAAGCTGTTCTGAAAAGAAATACCAACTAGTAGCAAATACATTTGTTTTAACTATTATTTAGGGTCACCTGCTGTATGTGGTATATGGCTTTTATGCAGGAAGTCGCAGTGAAAGAAGGTTAATTGAGACGTAGCTAATTCTCATTGACACTGCTTACCATGTGCTTAACTGTCAGAGAACTGTCCTGCCCAACCCCTCACCCCAAAAAATTATCAAACTAATTAAGCTAAGCACTAATTAAACAAGGCAGCTAATTATAATGTCTTACTTGCCATTGTTAATTCACATTGTTTGTTCATGTGTGCTCAGACAGACAGACAGACAGAGAGAGAGAGTGCGAGAGAGAGAAGACTGCAAAAGAGTAGAGGTCTGACTGAGAGCTCTTCTTTGTTATTGAGAAACCGGATAATCAGATCTGTCTGTCTGCTGCAGTGCCTTCAGGAAACATCTAGGGAATATGGCAATCGGGTTTGCCACTTAAGATTCACTTAAGGAGTCTGTTATGTAATCAGGTTAGGAATCTCTAATGTCTACCTGTTTCGCAAAAGTCAGACCACTGACAGAGGTGATACAGTAGACTGCATTAGGCAGAATATAGGGCATAATATACTTATTTATACCTAAACTTCTTACTCCTACTTGAACATCCAGTCAGAAATAAGTCTGTCTTATATGTAAAAGTGCACATACTACATGTTCTTATTACTCAGCAGTAGTATTTCACGACCTTCCGGCTAGTTCTGATCATAATCCATGTAGCATCATTAGCCACTACTGATGATTGCGTGCTATCTTAAAGTACCTGTGCATGTAGGAGGGTCTGGCTGCCAGAAGAAGCGACCGTTGATCTCAGTGCAGGTGATCCTGTTGGCCCCCTGCAGGACGTAGCCAGGATCGCATTGGAACACCACATGGTCCCCGGGCTCCCTGCTGTCACCGCCACGGGTCCCATTAGTTGGCATGCCTGGGTCATTGCAGGAGGTTGCAGTAGAGACTGGAGGAGCAAGAGGATACTCAATCATTGAAGTGACATGAAAATATTCAGTTACAAGATGAAAAAGGGGTATTTATGTCATGGTTCACAGTTAAACCTATGTGTCTCTACACCCAGTTACCACCCAGCCATTTGACCCATGTTCATCTAACATTTCCTTCACCTCCCTCCGTCCAACCCTCGTATCATCGTTCCGCCTCACCAGAGAACTGCAGAGCGAAGCCCTGCTTGCTGGTGAAGAAGTCTGTGGTGAACTGCAGGCTGACAGTGTTGAAGGTGCTGTGGGCGTCTGGGGGCAGCGCTGAGCCGCTCAGCTCCCTCAGCAGGACCCCACCATCCTGGGGCCCGTCCCAGATACGAAGCACGTCATGGACCTCCTCCGTGTGGAAAACCAGGAAATGCAGACTGTTAAAAACAAAGAAAAGATAGTTTAGAGATCCACGACCGCGATATCTGATTTATGAAGACTTTAACCCCCACACATTGCCCCTTACAATTCAGTCTTACAGAAAGCAAGCTGACTATTGCCACCTCCTATTTGCATTTAATTTTGTTCTTCAGCCCTTTTATTGGAAAGTAATTGTAGCTGAAGTCGATATCTGACAGCTTTTCTATTAAAAGCTTTAGTCATGAGAAAAATCTAGGCTCCAGTTGTTCTGTCACATAATGTTGGTGGTACACAGACCATGGAATTTGTAAAAGTCTTCTGCATGGTCCATTTTTCCAAAAGTTTACTATCAAGGTTAAGTATTTTGTTTGTATTATATGGAGACTAAAATTAAATATCATGATAACAAAGCAGAAAGGGGGGAAAAAGAAAAAAATCTCAGCGTTTAGCAATATAATTTACAATTTCTAAAATGTAAAAAAAGGATGAGTCAGAGCCGAGGAGGAGGAATTACATGGATTTAATAAAACTACTTAGCATTTAAAACCAATGCACACAAGATAATAATGTGATTAAAGGGAACAATATGAATAGAGGAAAGACAAAAACATGGTTAAGGGCAGGTATAAAGGAAGGAAACAACATTTTGAAATGAACCACAGACGCCAGATCCAGAGCATTCAATGGATGTTCCACAATGTCAGTCAAGCAGATACATCTGCCACGGCATTTAATAGTTTCAGTCTAGACATCAGAAAGATGATGCTGTCAAAATATCTACCCTTCACTTTGGCGCAGACAGCTGTCAACCAGTTGGTGGTCCACTGGATGTGATATGCACTGTAGCTGTGTACGTGTGTGTTTCTGTGTGGAAATGCGGCAGGCTCAATGCAGTGGATTCATAATGATGTATTGCTAGGAGTCTTGTGTGTGAGCATGTGCAAGTATGTGTTTTTTACAGGCTCAGCAGGAGTAAAGGGAAAGAAAGTGGTATTTTAGAACAAATGAGGGACTGGCGGTAATGCTGACATGGGCCATTTAATGTAAAGGACTTATTTAAAGACAAACAGTATTCTCAGCAGCTTCACCCTAAAGCAAAGTCGTAGAAAAAAATATAAAAACATGGCCAATTTATGTCAGCTAATTTAATTTGCACTTTCATTTGTTTTTCTCTGAAGCACATGGATATGGGGATGCACTGTGATGTAGGTGTGCTCAAAATAAAGGAAACATTTTTAAAAACACACAGTTTAACATGGTTAAAACTGTGTTGAATTGAACTTGACTAACCTGCTTAAGACAAAGCAACAGTGTTTTTTCTCCAAATGTAAAATAAATCACTGTCTCTAATGTTGCTTTAACATGGTCTATTTGGATGATGCGTTACATCTTGTTTGAATATCACAGAGCATTAAGACAGCACCGGGTGAAAATGAGCTCACTAGGGAACACCAGTCTTACCCTGGTAGTGCAGCAGTTAAAAATATACCACTGACAAATTCTAACAAAAAAATATCTAATAAAGGTATCCCAACCTTTTGAAAATTTATGATTTCTGTTGCATGCATTTAAAATTAATTGATTTATGATTCAAAGAGCTCATATAAAATATATATTGTGAAAATTACTTCATTATGAAAATTCACAGAAAACCATTTTGTCCCAAAGCAAATTCCTGACTTTAATTTCAGTTTTAATGCAAAGCTAATACCACTCACTGTAATAAAATACTTATTAAAGCACTTAAGTTCAGAGAGCTTCTGTAGAGCTCTGTTCATTTTATTATTTTGTCTACAAGCTTAAGCTTGGCTCATTTTAAATCTGTCCAGAAGTAATTTTCGCAAAATCTCAAATTCAAATTCAGTGTGTTGAATGATAATCTCTGTCCTAGTCATTTTAAGGAAATCGTGGTACTTTGTGTTTGTAGTATCCTCATCCCAAAACACACACACAGAGCCCTGAGCTACAGATGATGCAGAGGAGAAACAGCAACCCACTGATATGTCGGGTTTAGCAACAAGTTTCCCACCGTTTCTGCATAATTGGTGTCAGACTCCCATTCCCATACTGTCTGATGTGAGAGCAGCAGCCAGAGGCTACTAAACAATGTGCTGCGTGTGTGGATACTGTACATAACCTACTTGACAAGTCCTGTTGCAATGCCTGTGAAAGAAGTGCACATAAAACAAACAGATGCAGACAGGCACACTGGTACACATTCACGCAAATCTACACTGATAGGTATATTTGAAGGGTATGCTGCATTACACGCTCGTACATAAGCATCCACGCTTGAGAAACAGATGCAGCAATAGAGACATACATACATACAGTAAACACTATAACCCCCTTATCTCTGCAGAGCAGCACATCAAATGTTTCCAATATTCATCATCTAAGAACTTGCATAAAAACTAATCCTAGTCTTTGTAGTCATTCCTGCTTACAGTTCTTTTGCTAATATTCAGTGAAGCGTATATAATACCCTGTGACATGCAATAATCATTCAAAGCAAAGCAGTAAATATAAAAACAACACGTACAAGAGAGAGCATTCTGAACCGGTTTAACTCTCCTCTGTACTCTTGGCCTCACACAATTACAAGGCACACCTGTGCTTTCTCTTGGGGAGCAGAGAATCGAACCCCAATGTTTTAAGTGTGCAAGAATTAGAGAAGACACCCATATTTTGTTTAGAGGGACAGCAGTCTAAAGCTTGGAGAGATTATTGTCAAACCACTCAGTGGTTTGAACCAAACAATGGAGGTGTGAAAGTAACCCTTCTTTGGCAAATACTGCTGAGGAGCACTTTAGCAGGGCAACTGTCCCTGTAATGCACCAGTAGAATACAGCATACAGGGTGCCAAACCTTTTGCAGATGACACATTTATTATCTATTTTGGTAATGTGTTAAATTAAATCAGCAGAAATACATAAAATATATTTTCTGCAAAGATGGTGTTAACTAGAACATATATAGACAATTAAAGCTGCAAGCTGCGTTGGGCGGGCACTCGCACGTGTAGTGCGTTGAGGTGTGAGGCGGCTGTGTTGCAGATTCTGGAGCTCTGCCGGTGTGGCTGTGAATTTGCCACGCACTTCGGACGCTGCTCAAAGGTGTGAATCATCACTTCCCCTGTCCCCTTTGTGGTGCTACATAGCACTTGGCGCTCCGACTATAACTGAAAATTGGCATGTATATGTGTTAGGGGCATGATCATCATCAAGCACGTAAAGTTTGGTGCAGATGTGAGCATGTAGACTGAAGTTACAACAACTTTCTGTTTTATGGCGAATCATTGATTTTGGACCCCACGCCACAGACATGCTATTCCACAAAAACTCTTTTTTAATTTGCTCTAATTTGTACAACTTGTAATCATCAATGGTGAGTGCACAGCAAAAATCTAAAGTTGGTCGGACTAAATCCCTAGGACTTCCTGTTGGGTGTCGTGCTTTGCTCCAAGAGGCTTTTTGGTACGTCTGGACATGATACATGTGCCAGAGAAATTTCATACATGTAGGTGAAACGTACCACGGGGACTGCTTCGTTAAAGGTCACTTCCTGTTGCCAGCTGGTGGCGATATAACTATGGGTGAATGTCGGTATGCAAATGTGTTCAGGGCGGGACTCTTATTAAACGTGTAAAATCTGGTACAGATCTGCGCATGTACAGTCAAGTTACAACAATTTCCTGTGTCAGGGTGAAGTGTGGCCTCATCAATGTGTTAAGGGTTTTCTGGGAGTTTTGAAGTTCATATGTCCAACCTGCTCAGAGTAGTACATTACAGCGTAAACTGTGTCATTTCCTGTTGCCAGCAGGTGGCGCTATGACTTTGAGTGAATACTGGCATATGGATGTGTTCAGGGCAGGATTCTTATTATACATTTAAAATGTGGTGCAGATGTGAGCATGTATACTGAAGTTAGAACAACGTCATGTTTCATGGCGAATCATCAATTTTGGCGACACACCACGGGCAAACTGGTCAACTGGTAATAACTGTTTGAACTTTAAATCGTCAGTGGGTTTAGACTGCACAGTGACAATTTGAAGTCAATCGGGCTAATTCCCTAGGAGGAGTTTGTAAAAGTACAAAGTGTTTAAATCGCCAAAAATGACCATTAAATCCAAAATGACCGACTTCCTGTTGGGTTTAGGCAATGACTCCAAGAGGCTTTTTTGTATCTCTGGACATGGATACACGTACCACAGAAATTTCGTACACATAGGTGAAACTTTGCCCGGGGGCTGCTCTGTAGGTGGTGCTAACAAGCTATTTTGCCACAACCACAATATAAAATATGAAATTTTTCGCGCCGCCTGAATTATGTGCTGAGTTTTCGAGCATGTTTAGGCATCCAAAATTGAGATTACTTTGCAGAAAAAATAAATATAAGTCCTTCAGTTCCAATAGGGACCTCACATGTTTCATGCTCGAGCATAATGAACAAAGAATATGTACAGTTGGCCAGACACCAGTATGTATTTGTGTGTAAATGTGAAGGTGGACATTGCTAGAAAAGAACAATCATTTTCAGGAAAGTTTAATGGATAAAAAAGCAGTGCTGAATAAATTAATAAAATATGAAATATTGAAAAAATAAAGAAGTAGTATAACAATAATAGTAATAATGAATAAATGGTGTTATTCTGCAGTGCTCATTCCACATTTCTCAGACAAAGAGTGAATAGGTTCTGTATTTCTTATATAACTCCAATACCAGTCCTAATACACTATAGCGCTATCTTATTTACAACATTTGGTGCATCCTGGTTAGCCCTTCCACTTCCAGCGACCAAAGGTTATGTTCAAAGCCCTCCATCCCTGTCATGTAAGCGCCTCAGGCAGTGGGATGCTTGTCATGCAAATGCTTTTGTGAAACCCTTAGGTCCTTTTTACCTATGCTCCACCTCCCCATACCCTAGACAGAAGACGCTGAGGTGTTTCACAGGATTTGGCAGCATGAATAAAACAAAAAAAGCACGTCTTCTAATATGTGTACGTATGTGCCT